TCCTAAATGGAATATGTACAAACCATGCAGTAGTCTGTTGTGTGGGTCATGTACAACTCCACCTCGGTTAAATGGCTGATTGTCTATAACGCTCATCAATTATTTGGACCCCAAAGGTAGCATTGTAGCAAGTGATCACTGTATTTTTCATTGAACATAATAAATAATACATCAAGTACTGACTTGTTGCATTCGTGAATAAAAATATTCGTATTCGATATCCTATATTTGTGATATGTATCGTATTCGCCTCATTGTGTATTCGTTGCAGCCCAAATAAGTGTAAAATTTGAAAGAAATTTTTGTTCCTTTTTTTGCTTATTTTCCACGCTTAATAATACTGACCAGGATTTTTGTGCAGAAATAACTGTAAACCAAAAAATCGAGAGAAAATCTGACTGTACAGACTTAGCATGTTTATATGATTCCCTGTTGGAGAGTTTGTATTCTACTCTTTCTCATCGATTTGATCAGTAGGTTAAGTTCTACTTTCAACTTTGATTAATTGAAAATGAACCCCCTTATAAATTGTTAAACATTAACAGCATGTACACAACAGGCAAAATTGAAATCAGTCATGAATTAGAATTTGATTGCTTTTGAGGTGGGAATCTGTGTTCGAGGTTATTTCACTGCCTTGTGTGCTTGGAGGATGGCAAGGGTGTGATGTGTGTTTGGCCTACTTGTTATTTGATAGTGATTAAAGAGTCAGAAGGAAATAAGGCAATCCTAGTTGTCTTTTTCTTATATGAGCATTAATCAAAAGTAGATTATTTCGATATCAAGGGAAGCTCGATTGTCACCCTTCAACCAGAAAGACTTGTGATATGGATGCATAATATGGCAATTTGCTTCCATCTTTTGGGATGACCTTGTCTACAAGGTAGCATTTGAAAATGTCTTATGGTGTGTTTATTTTTTCAATGTGCAACTCAAACTGTAGTGTAACAACCTGTAACAACATATTTTGAGTAAATCTGTTGCCATTTTTAAGTGATACAGCCCAGAATCATACACAGTAAGTCACATTTTAGAAGACACAAAATTATGTAAACATCAAACCCCCTGTGGGTTAGAATTGCTCCTCAGCAACCTAATCTCGATGAATCAGGTAGTCAGACTCAGTGATTTGGTTGATTGCATGTCATTGCAGCGGTAGAAACTAACAGTTTTTGTCCACTAGTCCTTATAATGATAACATAGTAAAACCCTTAAAAAGGGCCAATTTCTAACAGTCCTTGTGATACCTTAACTATTGCCGTATTGGGCAGTTTGGCAAGGACTTTAGGACTAGTACCAGTTTCTTATGCTGCATTGTACCATGAACATCCTGAAGGCATGACCGCCACCTGAATACAGCTGGAATATTGCTAGTGCGACTTTAGACAACAGACAAACAAAACAAATGATGGATGACAAAAGCATCAGGTTATTTGTTGTTGACCACTACAGGTGAACATTTCAGAAACAATAGGTTGCTGCTTTTTGAAGGATTGATGCCAAATGTGAATGTAGGATTTGTAAATAAAATATGAAAGTGGTTCCCAGCAGACCCAAAAATGACCATGTTGAAATAGGTGTTGCACATAACCATCATAAGATTTTTGGCAACACGTCACTTGGTTTTAGTGTTATTTACAGACCATGGCTTTTAGCAGAACAGTGTCGTTAACATTGCTTAAGTTACCTCTGTTATCATGGCTATCCGTTGAAATCATTGTTTAGATTAGAATTACATATGAAGCAAAACCAACCCACATGAAACCAGAAACTAAATCTACTCACCAAATCCTTGTTTTTATGTTTCATGTTTGAACACTTCTGTTATCTTTGGGTGATGTTGTTGGCAGATACTGTATTCGACGTAATAAACACCCAGGGCGCTCTCAAAATTAGAAATAGGGGTCTCTTATTAGAATATTATTTTGGTGAAAAAAACAGCAGGACACTACAACCTGAGACCGGATATCACAACAAAGAATATTAAATAAAGAGCTGCAACCAGACTGTCATCTGTTTTTGTTGTCGATTAGTGTATGCTCAACTTGCAAGGATGACCAGACACTATCGGTCAGCATCAGTCACCACAGGTATTTCCCCAAGGCCCCTGAAGCAGGAGAGTGATAATCCTGAAACACCAGGTCTATTTATATGGGTCTGGTGTTTCAGTAATATCACCATACTGCTTCAGGGGCCCATGGTATATCAGTATCGAGTCCCGTGCTGATTTCACAGAGTCCGCCATATTTGTTTACCTGTCAATTTCTGTCTTAATAAATGCTTAGCTAAGATAAAAAATAACCTTCATAAACACTGTATATTTATTACTGCACGTATTTCAGTGTATGTAATCTTGTTAATCTTAAATGTCAAAAAAAGGAGAAAAACGTGATATTTATCCTCTATTACTGGTATATCGTAAATTGAGGTTCAATCTTTCCATGATACGTATCACTGATAGAGTTAGGCAATGTGTAAATACTGTTTGACGTGACTGACAGACTTCCAGGCAACAAACTGTATTCTGCTTTTGGAACCTTTGAGTAGTTTGACCTGACAAATTTGTATGGTACGGGAATATTTCTAGGTTAGGTCGACATTATGGCAGGAGACAACAAGGACACACCCCAATTGACAAAGATGAATGAGGGAAGAATTCGGCCAACAGACGGTTGACATGTGTGGGCAGCTAATGAGTAAAGTGCATGAGATTCAGTTTAATGTTTGAGACATTGGACAGACTTATGCGTATATCGCCTTGCGAAAAAAATTGATGGACTTTGACTAAACACTGACGATGCGACTCTGGAACTTGTGGAAGGCTAAACGCAACCGACAGTTATATAGCAGCAACTGTTGATTAGCAAACCTAGCAACACCTACGTCCCGATAGGTTGAAATTTGTATGTAATATTTCATATGACTCATGATTACATTGTTTTGATAATCATTATCTATTAACAATGATTAGAACATAAACCTCTTTTGAAAAGGACCACTCCAAACTTTATTATATATGTTTGGTTTTATTTTTTATCAATACCGTTAAAAGTTAAGATATTACAACATGATTATGTTTTGGACCAGAAAATGATCAAAATGGTGGATATTAACCTATCATTTTAGGATTACTAAGTAGTGACAGTCCAAACATGCATAATTAATTAGGTAAATTAATGATAATTTTTCCTACTGTAGAATATGTTACATCTTTTGCAATGTAAAATACAAAGACTAATTGAAACCCAAATAAAATACCAAACATTGAATTCAAATAAAGAAAGCTCTAAAAAAATTGATGGACTTAGACTCAACACTGACGATGCGACATTATACTTTGTGACATCATTGAAACTGAATTGAAATTTGATCCTTACAATAAAATAAGTTGCAACATATGTTGAAATTTAGGGCCTTAAGTCATAAAACATCTAGTTGAAATGGGAAAATGGATGCATGACTTCCTATTGATAATAATAAAATCATTCTTACATCAAATATCTAACTGCACCTGTATATAACATGTTACTTTTGGGATAACACTTTCTCTTTAAAGTACGAATTCTAGTTAGTTTTTTTGGTTGAGTCCCATCCAGAATTTGAACCCACACTTCTCAGAGTAAGGCACCTAATCAACAACACAGAGATGGCGACCAAACCAACTCACCACCGATGCTTCCACAATTTTTGAAATAAAAATTTAGAATTATACAACATATCATGATGCGTATCTCAATATGTCCTTGTGCATTGCAAAATATTGTGATACACTGTGACCCTCCGATACCCATCCCTATATAGTATAGATTATTTTAGAATAATTACTTATTTTTAAATATGTCCTTTTCTGTAAGTGTATAAATGTATGCAATTAGTATTTTGTAATACAGTGGAATCTGTCCAAATCGGACAATCTAATTCAGATTTCGAGACTTTTTCTCTGATCCCCTCAGCTTAATTAGATTAACCCATTGTCATGAACGTGTCAATAAATAACAGTAAACACAACTTGTCGTTATCAATTGCAATGGCTGAGGGAGTGGCAATGAAAAAGTGTATCAAACTTTCCCTTGCTAAGAAAGTTGCTTTAATTGACAAATTTAATGCACTACTAAAACCGAAGCAGAAAGATGTAGCCGAAAAGTTCATGTCATAATTGGATGGAAATAGAACAGGATAACATCCGCATTTAACGAGAAGATTCGTTCTTATCAGAACATCACCAAAGCACAATAGTTTAGTTAAATGAAAAATAAGTGTAAATAGGAAGGGTTATCGTTAATTTCAATTTTCAGTCAACATAACATTTTCCAGTTGGAAAGTTAAGCATGCTGATATTGGAAAGGGTTGTCCCAACAGCTAAACACATCATTACTATATGTTAACATGTTTGATGCATGGAAACTTGTGAGATGACAAAAGAAATAAGTGTATACTACCAACTCAACATTTCGACAGAATATTTGTGAAATGTATCTGCGTTATTATGTAATTCTGTTTGGAATCTCTTTAAAAAAAGAAGAAGATTACTGTGAGGGAAACAAGACCCTTGACAATGATTTACATAATGGTCCTCCGTAGCATTCAGTCCTCTTGCTATTGTATCCAGCGGAGCGAGGGGCAGTCGGGTAGCCTAGTTGTTAAAGCGTTCACTTGTCACGTAGAAGACACGGGTTCGATTCCCGACATGGATACAATGTGTGAAGCCCATTTCTGGTGACCCCCTACGTGATATTGCTGGAATATTGCTAAAAGCGGCATAAAACCATACTCACTCACTCCAGCGGAGCGATATGAAATATTGTGACCTAAAACAGTGTACAGAACCTTAAACTATCTTATCCATAAGCAATTCTGATCGATTACTTGATTTTTGTCTACCAACAAGACATTGTGTATTAACTGATTACTCAGCATCCTCAAAACACCATTAATAAGTTCAACTCAAGTCTACCCGAAGGAAACAATTGGTTATCTTTAATTATTATTTTTCTCTACAGCCTGCCGATTGCAGAACTTTGATAGAAAAGTTGAAATCCTCGGAGGATGATCTTCTTGCTGAACTCCGAACTGTGAAAACATGGACCTTTGGAAAGGTATGTATTGCTTGCTATCACCAAAAACACGTTTTGCAAGGGGTATTATAATGTCCGTCTGTCCATGTGTCTGTGTCCATGCATCTGTGCAAGATGTTGTTTCCGGAGCAGAGCTTGAACACCGTTCAATATTCTTTCACCAAAGATGGAATAGTGATAGGTCTAGTGGTGAACTGGTGCTTTTTTATACTTTGGGATTTTTTGTTTATTTTTACATGTTTCCATGGCAACAACTTTGACATAGACTGAAAGTGGGGGTAGTGCTCGTTGCCGGAGCAGATCTTAAAAACTACTATATTTCTTCACCAACTCAATTATGTTAATTGTGCTTATAATAGAAAGATTTTATTTTTATGAAGTGTTTTATTTTTATTAATAATTTCAAGTTCTGTATGAGACCACATCTTCTTTTCAGTGTGAATTGTATCACTGGTCTGATATACTCGACCTGTTTGATGATGTATTGGAAAAGGCATGTAAGAAGGAGACTGAGAAGAAATGGACGCTTGCTTGTGATGTCTCTGGAAATGAGAAGGTTTGTGCACGTTTGATTGAAATCTTCCAGAACCCTGTGTGTTACATTAGATTGAAAAGATTATGGTTTGTTTGTGGTGTCACTAAGGAATGCTGTAGGTCATGTGGCGATGGTGCTATGTTATGGCAAGATCCAGCATTCAAGATAGTTCATAATGTGTCACTTCATGGCCAAATGATGCACACACCAGCGGTAGAAACTAACAGTTTCAGTCCACTGGTCCTTATAATGATAACATATAGCAAAACCCTTAAAAATGGCAACTTTCTACTAGTCCTTATTACTTGCCCGTGAAGAGATCACCCGTTTAATAAACATACAGCTTTATTACACATTGTGTAATACCAAAACGCGTGCTTATGTACTCTCGGAACACGTTTCACGAACAAATATTGAAAGCTCTCAACATCCCTCGGCGTATTCAACGACATTGTGTGTGGAGATGATAGATCACTGGGAGGAGCTTATGCACACTCGATGACCCCAGCAACCTTGTTGCTAGGCTGACGTCACATGGCATTGTTTCGCTGATGGAACTTGCAACAAAATTCAACAAATTACGTCATCGGGTATTGTGACGTGATTGTAAACTTTGAGGTGCAAGGCCCCGTTCCACAAGGCGATCGTACTCTAGCGCAACGACAGTCGTTAGTCTAAGTTAAATTATGTGAGTTGTGATAGCCTTAGCACTACGATAATTTTGTCGGACGAACGCCTGAATTCTAAAGGTGGACCATTGTATGATATTAAATTCATACGTTTCAACTTTTGACGTGTTTGAAGTATTATTGTGTTAAACTCAATAGGATTATGCCATGGATCGTGTAGGTGTCAGCCTATTTACACTCAACAGTATAATTCTAAAAACATTATAAATGACAAGTAATAAATAAAATACTAAACTCGCTCTCGTGTAAAACCAATTTTATGAAACTCGTGAATAGTTGTGGTATCTGACTCGCTTTCGCTCGTCAGATACCAGAACTATTCACTCGTTTCATAAAATTGGTATTACACGGGAGCTCGTTTAGTATTCTATATTTATGATACCTTTACTATTGGGCAGTTTGGCACTGACTACAGGACTAGTGCCAAGTTCTAACGCTGCACACTAACATGTGTAAACACATTATTGCAAGTAAAGCGATCTGTACCAGTGGTTATAATCCTGAAGCCTAGTTTATTCCTGGACTAGAAAAATCTCACCTTTTTGACCATGTGTACAGAGTAAAAAGTATGTGAATTGATGCCTAGAGACTGACTCAATACTGTATTCCTTTCCAGCTCAAAACCCTCCTCCTGGAGGTGTTGCGATTCACAGCTCTGCTCATTGAGCACAGCTTCTCTCGTCACCTGTACAACTCCATGGAACATCTCACCACATTGCTGGCCTCCTGTGACATGACTGTCGTGCTTGGTGTTCTAAATCTACTCTATGTATTCAGGTAAATATCAACTGGTCCCTTTAGTAGGGATTACAGGCTAGAATGTCCAGAGTACCAATGCCTGTTGTATGCACAAAGGCAACAGTAACTAGGTTTTATGAAAATCAGAAGTCTTTAGAAAGGCTATATCATCAGCCAAGTCAAACACCAGTACACTCAAAGAAAAAGCAGAAGTTTGAGTTATTTGTTTCAAAAAATTGCAATGATCTGAAAAAGACATGATAAGAGTTACTTTTGAATTTTATTGTAAGATGACAAACATGACGATCTTGTATCAATGGTATAGTTAGAATTTGGATGGCAGCCCACATTTGTGACTGATTCTAATCACTTCCTGTTAATTGCATTTGCTAGATATTGTCATGCCTCAAGCAGCAAACTTCTGAACATGTTTTATCATTTGCCATCTTGATGTTATATCTGTTAGTTTGATTTGTCAATTTACTGTCTTCCTTTCCTCTCTCCCCACCCCAATGAAACTTGGCATATGCATTTCTCATCTGCTGAAAAGGGGCCTTTTGCTAGTTACACATTTTGACATTTTTTATGTTTTCATATTTTGCAATTAATACATGTATTCTTTAAAATTTCTTCTGTTGCATGAAACCATTATCTTTCCAGGCAATAATTTTGCTATTGTTTTTTTAATTTACAAACACATTTACAATAACAACTTAAACTAACGTATTTATAAAAAACATGGAGGAGGATGACATGGTTTTAGTTTTGAAAAACACCTGGTTATTTTCTGTGATTTATTTTATTTTTCTGTTATTTTCAGCAAAAGGTCCAACTTCATAACACGTTTAAATCCAGATAAGAAACAAGCCCTGGTTGTGAGACTGACACATCTAGCTGAGGTAATTAGATAGTATTGTCCTTTGTAGAATGGGTTGCAGATTTTTTTTTACATTTTGAGACAGGTTGTTTGTTGAATAACAATAATTACTTATGATGGAGGATACATGTATTTGAATTGTACATTCCCATCATTCTCACATTAACAAAAGAACTGCAAGATGATCCAGTACATTGTGTATCTTCAGTTTCTTCCCAGTGTTTTTTACTTGTTCAACTGTGCTAAAGAAAAATGCTTAGATGGGAATAGAACTTGAAACTATTCCTGTACAAAGTAGTCATGATACTGTTTTGGAGGCAAAACAGGGAAGATGCTACACATCATGTTTTGAAAATCTACACTTTAGGCTAACAATTTGAAGCTTGTGAACATGTTCTGTCATAACCAGTAATACTAACTAATAGTTTAGTTTCATAATATATATGTCCTTATTTCAGAGTTGGGGAGGAAAGGAAAATGGATTTGGACTTGCCGAATGTTGCAAGAATTTGGCTTTGAGTGTAAGTATGATCACTGACAATTTTCTAAGATGCTACTGTAAAGAATTCTTTGTCCAAACGTACATCAGGTGGGTTTATGTGTTGGTATTTGTCTTTACATCTGCTGGCCATTATGATCTGATATAAAACTGAATTTATGAACTTATCCCATCTCACACAATGCATTTCTTCCTTCTTCTTTCGATCCTTATTTGAAAACGTACTTGAACAAAGTTTCCAGCTTCAAAAAACAATTCACTGAGCACATCACAGCATCACCATGTTCACCCCCCAAGCAAATTGGTCACGCACTGTAATCTTGTGCGATGTGAGTTTACATGACTTGATCACCTGACTACCCCTACCACATCATTCTCATCGTGGAGACATGTTTTGAATTTTACAGAATACATTTTTGTTGTTTTTGCGTAAGCTACTTCTTTCATATAAACCTTTACAGTACTATCCTGTAGAAAGATAGGGTACACAATTAATAAACGCCCGTCCTGTCTTAATTTGAAGATGTAGCTACTCAACTGCTGATCCTTATGATCACAACTGTGATTGTCCAGGCCGGTGCTATATAGACAAAGGATGTTCTCCTGCTAAGAAGCCCAAATGGTTTACTAAGCTGGCTGTCCCCTCCACCGTTCCAGTCTTGAAACCACCTCTGACGTCAACCATAGCCTCCTTGTCTCAGACAGCTTCCTCACTGACGATGTTCCCACTAAAACGGTCCAGCCGTCTGTCCCCAGTTCGCCTGTGTTGAAGCACACCACAGACTCGTCCAAGCCAGCTTCGACAGCCCCTACTGTTGACCTTCCGAGCGCTTCCAGTAGTTGGCTGCAAGTCCCTCATTGTCCCCCATGGGATGTTCCTGTCGTTACTGAACTGACCACTTCGTCTCAGGACGCAGTTGCTCCCAAGTTGACGGGTGTTGATTCCGACTTCAATTTAGTCCTCAACTGCTCTTGAGGAATGACAGAGCCGGGATCGCTCTCATGCCTCGGACAAGGATGGCCGTCCTTCCTCAAGGAGTTGCCGTTCCAGGGATCAACTATCGAGGGATAGATGCTCTTGGGATCATTCATCAAAGGATCAACATTTCAGATCTACGGTTTGCTGCTCGCAGGATCGACACTTACACGATTGACGTCGGGGGGGGGGATCAACTTTCTCCGAATTGTCGGGTCTACTGATTGACCCTGACCATCATTCGGGGGAGTATTCGAATTCAGATTTGGCAGATTGATCTTCGACTCGGTATTGCTCTCCTTCTACAAGTCATTTGATAAGTTGGCCACAAGACTTTTCCAGGGATAACCTTTAGCATAGCGAATACAGTATCGTCAACAAGGCTGGAATCAATACCCCCCAACGTCTGCATCTGTATCATCATGTGCAGTCTACCCTTTTGTGTCACCTTATCCTGACTACCACTCTTGTGCTGACTTCTATCGTTATACGCCTCTCCGGGATTAGTCCATGGATCACTGTTGACATGACGATCGTCATCAACCCTTTTTTTCACATCGAGGTTCATCTCCGGTGGACACACATTCGAATCAACATTCTCCCAGTAGATCCACCTTGCAGCCTCGCCTCCAGTTCATGGGCAACCAAGCCTGGCGGTGTCGCTCATGCAGGCCATGACTTCTGCCCTACAGATACCCTCTGCTTCTGGGTTGACATGGGGAGTGACAACTACACTCCTCCCCTCAGGGTCGACATCAACATCGAAATCAGGGCACATGTTCTGTCTTTTAATGTCATCAATGTCGCCAACTTTCTGAGACTGATTTATGCCCTGCCTTCCCAATTGTCAAGCATTCGATGGATCGGCGGTTTCAAGGTTTCATTTCAAGAATTCTGTACTATTGTCAGCCAAGAAACCAAAGCGAACAGGCTGTCCATTGTTGCTGTACTTCCCTTGTCTTTTTTGAAGACCACATCATCTACAATCACTTCACTATCGATGGAGGGCGCAGTATCCGTTTCATTCTCCACAGATTTTCCTGACTTTATGAAGACCACAGCGTTGTGTGTGTCCCCCATTCATCTGACCACCCACCATACTGTATGATCAAGACTGGTTATTCTATTGCATTGACATTTATAAAAGAATCAATGTGATCTTGTTGGACTATTGCTATAAGTTAGGTATAACTAACTCACTCATTCAGCTACGCATCGCCTGAATTGGATTGGCTGTGTCGGTTTGGAAACGTTATGACAGTCTACATTGGCATTGCCCTCCCTTACCTACTTCACGGAATTACCAGACTATCCTCGGCGTTAGTTCAATCTGTTGCTCAAGAAGATTGACATGTGTAACGATCAAGATAGACATTATCAAGGGAACATTATCAACTTGCAAATGCACTGAGCACGTCACTCATTCTACAGGGAACTGGCTGCATGTACACCATTATCTCTTCAGAACTCGGGACAATGTTTTTGTTCGTCTGCTATAGAGTTCTCTCTGTTTTGTCCCATGATTGGGGCGTGTGGTTTGCCTGCTCTAGAGCTCTTGTGATCATCACTGCTCCACAAGCTTATGCAGCCGCCAGAAAAAGGATAGCAGTCCCAGCAAGGATAGAGTTTTCAGTGCCCCGGTGGAGGGATGTTTTGCATATCACATGTCTGAACTCTTCTCTAGGTTGTAAATAATTACACACTAGGCGGAATTCCTTCAAGCATCGCTTGGCAGCTGTTCGTCCCGACCCAACACCTCTTTGTTGATGCCTTGACCGTTGGCTGGGGACCTCACTTGCACGATCTATAGATGACAGGACGTTGGCCCATCGACAAAAAGAGACTTTGGGTGAATTTTTTTTTAGAAGATGGAAACTTTGTTCAAGCATGTTTCCACATAAGGTTCAAAAGAAGAAGGAAGAAATGCATAGTGTGAGACGGGATAAGTATATAAATATAAAGGCCGGGACGATACAATATGTGTCATGATACCTTGCCAACGATCCGATACGTATCATGATACTTGCAAATGCCCTTATATGTGGTGCTTAAGCAATATTTTTAATAGCCAGGATGGCCAAATAGCTGACACACTAACGATATACAGTTGACAGTATCAAGTATGGCTCAATGAATGAAAATATTTATGTTTTTACTACTCAATTTCACTGGTAATTAGTATTTCGTGTAACATCTATTAAAGAATATATTTAAGGTAATAATTAAGGTAAAAATCGATACTTTTTACTTGTGTGATTATGATCAATATTTGTCCTGAGACGTATAAAATCAGGGTCCACTGATACATCGATGTATCTTCCCACTATTAATAAATATACAATTTAATGTAAAATTTAAGGCTATGTGTATAAATGTGCAAAGCTTTATGTAAAACTAGCGTGTAACTATTTCCATTTGTATTCTTTCAATAACCAGTCATAATTCTGGTTAAGCATTTCTTTCAACCCCATAAATAAGAAATACATTTTCTTAAGTAATGGCTTAGATGTTAGATGGCCGGATGTTAAGTATATGTTTATGAAACCTCATGCATGTGCTTTTCAATCTTTTCAGAACTTTCCACCTAGTGCAACAACTCTACATTTTGAATTCTACACAGAAAATAAAGATGAAAAATCTGGAAAAAAGGTAAGTTGGACTGCTTTTCAACTATATCCTTTTCAATATTTGAGGGTTATCAAGGCAAGTAAAATGTTGAATACATGACTATATGGAAAGACCAGCTCTCAGCTGTAATTTTGCTGAAATTTAGTTTGGCCCTGCCTGAAATGGTATGGATTCATAATGACATGCTGGATGACTTTATCTTCTGTTGATCTGATAAGCCTGTGTGCAGACTGCATTCACTTAACAATGCATTGCGTATCTCCAGTCTAAACCTTGTGGTTTTGATTGGTCGTTAACCAGTGCTAGAGTACTATGGCTATTGCGTAGTTGGAAGTAGTACTATTTGTACTTCTGATTTGTGTTAGCCATGACATTTTGTATTCTTGTAACCATTTTTTTGTCCACAGTTCCAGAAAAGGTCAATGCCTGGTGTAACCATCATTGGTTTTTGTATACCTTTGACGAAATTAATATTTATTGTTTTAACCAAATTCATTTGGTACACAAGTCATTAAATGCAGGTCAAGTTACGTGAAATTATTCAGTATTAACAAGGTGAAAGGTAAATGTTTGTAGAGCATCAACAGCAGGTTCCTGTTTGAAATGTGAAGTACTTGCAAGTTTTCTTGATTGCAGGGTGCATCAAATTCAATTCAAAGTATTCACATGGACAATGTTGACAAGGCTGCTTCTCTCCCATCAACCATCATGGAACAACTGGAGAACTACAGTATACCTGCAGATAAACAGGTCAGTCATGGTAGAGCAATGCAGTGGACTATCAAGTCCAAAAGGGGCCATATGTGCCCAGCTAAGCTGCCACAATTCGCCATGCAGAGTAGTGCTTGGTTGTAACAGAAGATGACAGTGCATGACACCTTTGTTCCCTCTCAGTAACATTGCTGCCACCTGTGTGGACACGGCTATCACAATAATCTTGAAATTTGCTTTCTAACCCCATATGTACTGACATTTATATTTTTTTGTATGTCTATGAGAATGCCAGCATGGGGAATTTTAAAAAGGTTTGCAAATAACTTAATATTTCCTTGATGAATTTATGTTTTGTTGTTTAATCAGATTGGTTCAAAATCTTTTCCCCATGCTTGTTGTGGGCGCTCCTCTCACCTGTAATACAAATGAAATAACTCTCACTCTCCTTCGTAGTTTGTGTAATTCTAATAAATACATGATTGTGTTTGTTTCAGGTTCTGCTGTACACTCACATACGCCTGGCCCATTTGTTCTCCAACTATGAGGCCAGAGTGCAGTGTGTTCAGGCCAGACTTCAAGCTATTGCTATACTTGGTTAGTATGTGAATGACCCTTGTGGAGATTCTTGGTTAGAATAGGTCCCCAGCAACCTATAATAGTCATAACAGGCAACCAAAGGGATCTGGTGGTCAGTTTCGGTGACTTGCTTTATTGCGTATTATCGTACCCCTACGGTATGGATCGTTGCTCAAATCACTTGCTTATCTGGTCCAGACTTGATTTTTTTACAGACTACCATCATAGAGCTGTAATATTGCTGACTAGTGGGCCCAGGTTCGATTTCCTACATAAGTTTCAATGTGTGGAGCCCATTTTTGGTGTCCCCTGCTGTGATATTACTGAAATATTACTAAAAGTGGCATAAAACCCAACTCACTCTTTGTTCATGGTAATAGTTTTCTCTTCTGATAAATGTATCAATTTTATCCCAAAATAAATTTGCTGTGCTGTACATTTTGGAATGATCGTTTGAACCTCTTCTAAGACTCATTTAAACTGATAATTATTAATATTACCTATATTTTTGTTTACAGTGTACTCAAATGCTATTCAAGAAAATATGAATGTGATCCTGTATCCAGGCCTCATAGAGGAGCTTGTTGATATTGTGGAACTCAAAGAACCTAACCTAGTGGTAAGTTTTATTGAAATGACTGGAACCTATTTCTATCGTAAACAAATACCCAGAATGACAAACCATATAGGTTATCCTTAACTCTTACAACACCACAGGCCCATCAAAGAGCAGAATAAAGACGCTTCAAGCAAATCTTAAAATACTAATATTTATTTTATATGAAGTAATAAATAAAATCTCCCTCCCTCCCTCCACCTCCTCTCTTCTCCTCTCCTCCTCTCTTCTCTCTTGTCCTCTTCTCTTTTCCTTCTCTTCTCTCTTCTTGTCCTCTTCTCCTCCTTTCCTCTTCCCTCTCTTGTCCTCTTTTCCTCCTCTATTCTCTTTTCTCTTCTCTTCTCTTCTCATTTCCTTCTCTCTTCTCTTTTCCTACTGTCTTCTCTTCTCCTTTCTTCTCTTTTCCTCCTTTCTTCTACTCTCTTCTCCTCTCTTGTCCTCTCCTCTCCTGCATTTGTTTAGCATTAGGTGATTGCCATGTACTAATCAGTCTCACATCTTTTTTCAGGACATCAAAGCTGCTGCTTTGAGAACATTGACATCTATCATACACCTTGAGAGAAATCCAAAGTAAGGACATTTCCATTAACTCCCAATCATGATAATTTGATAGGGAACTAATTAAAGGAGTTAAACAGATTTGGTGGTAATTGTTTGAGCAATAAGAAATGTATAAAAACTAGAATAAACTTCAGAGCCAACACTGTAAGTAAATATTCGCTTTCTGGAAGAAGCCCAAGAAACACTGCATAGAAACAGTTTAGTGAAAGCAAGTTGTGAAGGCCTGTTGTTTGACTGAAAGGAACCGCCTCCGTGGTCTAGTGGTAGAACGTCCGCCAGGAGAGCGGAAGGTCCCCTGCCACATCATACCAAAAGACCTTAAAAGATGGTACTTGTTGTTACCCTGTCTGGTGCTCGGCATTAAGGGGCTAAAACAAGGACTGGTCGGCTCGGAGTCAGTATACTGTGTCTGAGTGGGGTATTCATGTTAAACTGCGGCATGGTATCTCAGTGAGCTAGCACTATAAATCGGCATCAGTCCTGACTAGTACAAACAGCCACACACACACGTCGCTATATAAGTTCAAGAATCTTGGACGGGACGTTAAACCCAATTTCACCTCACCTCACCTCACCTCACCTCTTGACTGAAAGGATGTTTACTGTGTTGTTCAAGTTTACACACTGTCTTTGTAGGTTAAACAGTATTATAGATGCCACTGGTGCTTCATCTTACCACGGATTTCTACCTGTGCTTGTACGAACATGTATTCAACACATGATAGGTGAGTACTTTTCAATTTCTCAGTAATTTGCATTGAATGTCTGCAATTTGACATGCTTGATGTGTCATATTGATCGTTTACCAATGCTATAAAAATAAGGTCTTTTCACTTGTAGAAAGGTGCTGTAGGGCACATTTCTGTGTTAAGCCTTGACATTATACTGATGCTTGTACCGGTTACAGAAAGATAATCATGTTATGTTCATGTTGAGCAGATGTAGAATGATATTATGTTAATGAGCACTTTTTACCGTTTGAATTTTACCCTATATATGAGATGGAACAGTCTTTACAATAGACAAAAACCTAGTAGCATGTCAGGGGCCCCACATGTTTTTTCTGTTTCTAACAGATGGTGAAACTGAATAAGTATCTAATTTTGCTTTTGCTTGGCCTTTTATATGTCATTAGAAATAATGTGTATGTCAGTTTTATTGTCCCCCACTCAAACAAAGTTCCATCCATCCATCCATCCATCCATCCATCCATCCATCCATCCATCACTGCCTGTCTGTCTGTTCCTAATCATTTCATTTATGGAGGGTGTCACAGAAGCTTTCCATATTTTTCAACAAAAATAGTCAATCAAACAGATCCTGAAGTGAAGTTTAGCTATTTCCAGATTGTGGCATTTTAATTTTTCACGTTTTCCACGTTTTCCACATAGCAATTGTACTTCGTCTCAACTGGTGCCTTTTGATGATTTCGAATTTTATATTATTATTAATATTTTTAATATTTTTTAATTTTTTTTCCATGACGACAAGTTGGACTTAAACTGAAAATGAGGGTAGTGCTCGTTTCCGGAGCAGAACTCCAAAACTGTTGAATATTTCTTTTTGAGATTTGCTAGTGGTAAACTGGTGCTTTTTGATGATTTGGGATCTATATTTTTAAGATTTTATTTTATATTTGTCCATGACGATAAGTTGACTTATTATACTGAAAATAAGGCAAGTGTTCGTTTCTTGAGCAGAACTCCAAAACCGTTAAGTATTTCTAAATGAAACTTGCTGTACAGATCAGTCTAATGGTGAACTGGTGCCTTTTGATGAATTGGGATTTTAATTTTTTTTCTATTTCATGATGACAAGTTGGACCTATACTGAAAATGAGGGTAGTGCTCATTTCTGGAGCAGAACTCCAAAACTGTTGAACAACTCAAGATAAAACTTGCTATACAGATCAGTCTAGTGGTGAACTGGTGCCATTTGATGATATGGGATATTATAATCTGCAAAGTTGTTGTGTTGGTTTTACTTGGCCTTTAAAGCCTAAAGATCGATGTTTGAAATAAAGCAGCCTTTGCATTGTGTATCTTCAGTCTGTGTCCCAGTGGTTCGGATTGGTCGTTTTAACAGTGCTAGAATAATATGGTGATTGTCATAGACGGGGTAGACCTGGTGACTATTCCAGCATGCAATAACCATGACAAAAAATATTAGATATGTTCTATAAATACATGTTCATTACCTTTTCTACACACTATTTTAATCAGTTGTACATGTTATTAGTGAAGAAAAAGAAATTAATGGACATGACTGTTTCTGTTGTCAAAGTTATGACAGTTCCTCTAGTGTATGGTTTAGAAAAAAATATGTAAGATTATCACGTTGATAGCATGACCCATGCCATCAGGGTACACTGACAGTGAGCCAGGCAACCCATCGTACTATCTGATTCGGGTATTGGGATTCTTTTCTTGATCTGAATCTCCAAAGGGTTTTAAGGTCAAGTAAATGCAACAAAGGTTTCTGGCCAAATAATTTTATTATTTGTTTTGCATAACGGTATCCTATGGCAATAATAAATCTGCACCCTATGTGTCCACACCTTTCATTTCCATGCTTATTATTTCCACATTCTAAAGGGCAAGTTAACTGAAAAAGACGATTGTGATTTTTTTTGCGAATATCAATTTTCCTTGATACGTTTTATCAATTTTGGGAGAGAAAACTTCTAATTATTCACAGAAAGTATTCAAATGTGCAAGTGAAAGTACTGAAATCGCTCGCTTCGTAATCATCTTTCAATACAAACCTATTTGGGGGTGTGGCCTAAAGCTACCGGCACAGCAGTGACAACTGTTTTCATTGGCTGACATGTTTCCGCTTTTTTTTCTATCTTGAAATTCTTAGCCGTTTATATATCGTTCTGATATTTGTGTTATTCCTACAAAAATAACATTGCATACATTGATAAATGTGTCAAATCAGCGTTTGAAACTGGCGCTAGTTCTATAGTCCTTGCCAAACTGCCCAATAGTAAAGGTATCATAAGGACTAGTAGAAATTTGCCATTTTTAAGGGGTTTGCTATATGTTATCATTATAATGACTAGTGGACTAAAACGGATAGTTTCTACTCCTGGAAATGACCTTTGTTCTTGACATTGTAAATAATTAAAATAGCAATAGGTAACTAGCGTTTTATTACTGACATCCTGTTGGGATAATAAACAACCAGTTGCCTTTAGCCCTATTCCACACAATGAATGCCTGTCAGGAATTAATCCCCTAAATAAACAACTGAAGGCATCTTCAGTGTTATAACTAACAAAGTATAAGGTGACATATGTTGTAGACATGGTCTTCAAATGGTAGAACAGACAGAAGTAAAAAACTGAAATGTTTTCAAGTATTTGCATTGAGTGTCTGCAATTTGACATGCTTGATGTGTCATATTGATCGTTTACCAATGCTATAAAAATAAGGTCTTTTCACTTGTAGAAAAGTGCTGTAGGGCACATTTCTGTGTTAAGCCTTGACATTATACTGAAATTTGTACCGGTTACAGAAAGATAATCATGTTATGTTCATGTTGAGCAGATGTAGAATGATATTATGTTAATGAGCACCTTTTACCGTTTGAATTTTACCCTATATATGCGAGGAACAGTCTTTACAATAGACAAAAACCTAGTAGCATGTCAGGGGCCCCACATGTTTTTTTTATTTCTAACAGATGGTGAAACTGAATCAGTATCTAATTTTGCTTTTGCTTGGCCTTTTATACTTCATTAGAAATAATTTGTATATCAGTTTTATTGTCCCCCACAAATTCACAAAGGTTCAAATGAGGGTTGGGTTCTCATTAACCGTTCAGTATTTCTTCTTGACACTTTGTATATCAATCAGGCAAGTGCTGAACTGGTACCTTTTGCTGTTCAGATGCCTTATTCATTTTTCTCCCCGAAGTTTCAAGAACAGGGGATATAGAGATCACCATGTCTGTCCGTCAGCTGTCCGTTTTCTGTCTCTGGGGCTAAACTCTGGGTTGAAACTTTCTATATCAATCTGTCCATTGGGGAATGAGTCCTTTTGATGATTTTGGATTTTTGTTCTTTTTATTATTCTCCCCGGCATATAATGCGATGGGATATATTCAGCGCCTCGTCTGTCTGCCTGCCTGTCCGTCTGTTCCTAATCATTTCATTTATGGAGGATGTCACAGAAGCTTTCCATCTTTTTCAACAAAAATAGTCAATCAAACAGATCCTGAAGTGAAGTTTAGCTATTTCCAGATTGTGGCATTTTAATTTTTCACGTTTTCCACATAACAATTTGTACTTCGTCTCAACCGTTGCCTTTTGATGATTTCAAATTTTATATTATTAATATTTTTATTTATTTTTTATTTATTTTCCATGATGACAAATTGGACTTATACTGAAAATGGGGGTAGTGCTCGTTTCCGGAGCAGAACTCCAAAACTGTTGAATATTTCTTTTTGAAATTTGCTAGTGGTAAACTGGTGCTTTTTGATGATTTGGGATCTATTTTTTTAAGATTATACTGAAAATAAGGTTAGTGTTCGTTTCTGGAGCAGAACTCCAAAACCGTTGAGTATTTCTAAATGAAATTTGCTGTACAGATCAGTCTAGTGGTGAACTGGTGTCTTTTGATGAATTGGGATTTTTTTTTTTTTTTCTATTTCATGATGACAAGTTGGACCTATACTGAAAATGAGGGCAGTGCTCATTTCTGGAGCAGAACTCCAAAACTGTTGAACATTTCAAGATAAAACTTGCTATACAGAACAGTCTAGTGGTGAACTGGTGCCATTTGATGATTTGGGATATTATAATCTGCAAAGTTGTTGTGTTGGTTTTACTTGGCCTTCAAAGCCTAAAGATCGATGTTTGAAATAAAGCAGCCTTTGCATTGTGTATCTTCAGTCTGTGTCCCAGTGGTTCGGATTGGTCGTTTTAACAGTGCTAGAATAATATGGTGATTGTCATAGACGGGGTAGACCTGGTGACTATTCCAGCATGCAATAACCATGACAAAAGATATTAGATATGTTTTTATAAATCCATGTTCGTTACCTATTCTACACACTATTTTAATCAGTTGTACATGTTATTAGTGAAGAAAATGAAATTAATGGACTTGACTGTTTCTGTTGTCAAAGTTATGACAGTTCCTCTAGTGTATGGTTTAGAAAAAAATATGTAAGATTATCACGTTGATAGCATGACCCATGCCATCAGGGTACACTGACAGTGAGCCAGGCCACCCATCGTACTATCTGATTCTTATTGCTACCATCGGGTATTGGGATTCTTTTCTTGACCTGAATCTCCAAAGGGTTTTAAAGGTAAAGTAAATACCCGAACAAACAAAAATTATTATTTGTTTTGACGTAACAGTGTGGTATGACAATAATAAATCTGCACCCTATGTGTCCACGCCGATTATTTCCACACTTTAAGCCCAATGATCGATGTTTGAAATAAATTAGCCTTTGCATTGTGTATCTTCAGTCTGTGTCCCAGTGGTTCGGATTGGTCGTTTGACAATGCTAGAGTAATATGGTGATTGTCATAGACGGGGTAGACCTGGTGACTATCCCTGCCTACAATAACCATGACAGTATTGAATTATTTCAGGATTTCATTTTCAAATGTCAGATTTTATTTTCATATGGGAAAACATTTAGTGCTAAATAGCTTAATCATACATGGTTTCAGTATAAAAATGAAATATGTGGCCATGACTTTTCTATTGTCGTATTACAACTACTTTTCTGGCAACGTTATGACATTTTCACTGTAGTTAAAATAAAAAATTGTATATACGGGAATGTGTATAAGGCAAGTTTTTCATACCTAGAATTAGGGGGCTTTCAAGGGGGGTCACCTTATACACAGGGTTGAAAAGTTTTGATGGTTTTTTCCCCCCAACACGAAGACAATGTCATTACTGTGAGCATGTAACACCGGAAATACTATGTCAACAAATGCGTACTTCAGTACGCAAATTAATCATGTAATTACACTGTCTGGTTATAAAAAGTGTTCATTTTATATCTGCACTTATCATGCTTATGTTTCTGATCTATTTTATTAATTTTATTCAAAATTTCATTCAAAATTTCATTCAGTATTGTTTCCATTCATTTCTGCGAAATTGTATGTGAAGTGATCGGAAGATCGCGAAACTCAGTTATTTACAGCAACCACGGATAGATTACCGCAATTAAAGCCTTGAAACCAACTTTAGTGGATAGAGAATGGATATAAATATCATAAATGCCATACATTGACTCGTATAAGTCATATTTGTTGTAGTTTGACTATTTTATCTCAACATAAAGTTTTCGCTATGGCGAGTACAGGACTATCAACGGTGATTGGTCAAATTGTTCCATGCTAAAATATACCCAGCAATAGTGATCGGCTGTACCAAAGTGCTATGCTTATTGTTATTAATTTATTTCAAATACATGTATACATAGTAAAGCTTCAACTAAAATAACATGATTGGAATAAATTATTAACTATTATAAAATATTAGTTTCAGAAACAATTCTTCCGATCATTTTTAAAAATTCTTTAAAGTTATGATATTGGGAAATTTTTAACTGAATCACTGGCAGATTCCAAGTAACGTGTACACAGCTGACTGCTACTTCCGGCTTAGTTTACTAGAAAATACAAACGGTAGTCTTAGTCTCTGCATTAAACACGATGCCTAGCAGAACAGGAAAAAAAAATTCATGTCTACTGTAGCGATGTTTTTTCACACATTTCTATTTTTATTGACCAAGTTTAATTTTTATGATCTGTTCGTTTCTCTGAATTCGCTGAAGGGATACATCTACGATGTAATTTTTTTCTGCGGAAGACAAACATGTTTTTATTGCAAATGTAGAGATTGTGTATGCGCTGGGAACGTGCTTCATTCCAATTCACTTTATAGACAGGGTATATAAATTAACATCGATTTTGAAGGATTCATTCTAATATGGTCTTTCTATTTGTCTGGATCACAAGCATTCAAGTTAGATTTGATTTAAGGTTAGACCTGACTTTGAGTTACGAGTAGAATGCAAAGAAGGAGATCAGTGTTTCAGGAATATTCTTCTTTGTTATACAGTACATGTACATTGGACAGAATAATATTATCAAGGCATTTCTTTTTTTCAGACCCTGAAATGGATGCTTTTCCCCAGCAGTATGCCACAGCTTTGTTCTCCTTCCTCTACCATCTAGCCAGCTATGAGAATGGTCAGTAGAACAGTATATTCCAAATTTGCAGCTGTTGAATAGTCTATAATGTTTTCATTGTTAGATAATGTCATAAATATTGGGCTTGAATGACCCTCCCATTGCATCTCTAGGCATGCTAGAATCCTATTTGTATGGACTTGAATCCCAAATTCAATTTGATTCTTTGTTTGCCAGGACCATGCTCATTGTTTTAACCAAAGTTGTAAAGTGTTTAGCCAACATCACTCTAGGCTTTCCTCCCATATTAAGTTGATATGTAATTAAACTGAAAAAAAACACTCAGCAGCAATAAATCCAACTCACTCACTTTAAAACTTGTTAGTGTTATGAATTTGTTTGTGATGACAGGCTGTTTAGTTGTCATTTATGCAGATGATGATAGAACTTGGCATCTGTCGGCAGTGTTCAGTGGGGTTTTCAGTTTTGTAACTTATTTGGTCTTTCAAATTTTGTCTTAATGCTCTCAGCCATAGCAGCCATATTAAACATGTCAGGCCTTTCTGTATATCCCGTGAAGATTCCATGGTAGAATTGGTCTTCAGCAACCCATGCTTGCCTTAAAAGGCGACTATGCTTGTCGTAAGAAGCGACTAACGGGATCGGGTGGTCAGGCTCGCTGACTTGGTTGATGCCTGTCATCGATCCCAATTGTGTGGATCGATGCTCATGATGTCAATCACTGGATTGTCTGGTCCAGACTCGATTATTTTACAGACTGCCATCATATAGCTGGAATATTTAAAACAACAAAGAAACAAAAAAAACTTTCTATATGTGCTAGATAAAAGTTGTGTTCAGCACATGATAGGTGTATATATTCTCTTGCTTTCTTCTAATGTTTGTACTTGCATTGAGTGTCTGCAATCTGACATGTTCATGGGTCAGATTGATCGTTTTCCTAATGCTACAAAACTGAGGTCTTGCAGTCATAGAAGGGTGCTGTAGAGCACATTTCATTGTTAAGCCTCAACATTATCTTTCTAGTTTATGTAGCTTGTTCATGAGATGGAGTAGAATGAACGAATAGATAGATAGATAGATAGATAGATAGATAGAAGGAAGCTGATTAGCATGTGATTGTTACTGTGTTACCAGGTGTTGAGGCATTGGTATCTTGCGGGATGATGGAAGCATTACTGAAAGTCATCAACTGGTATGGAGAGGGACAAGAGCACATAACCGTAAGTGTGGGTATTGTTTTCTGGCTTCCTCTTTCTTGCACTTTCTCTTACTCTTGCAATGAAATATCTCCTCAGTGTTTGTATGTAGAATCAATGATTGCCATCCAGATTTAACTCTTGTAACACCACCCGACATGGGTACAATGTGTGAAGCCCATTTCTGGTGTCCCCCGCCGTGATATTGCTGGAATATTGCTAAAAGCGGCTTTAAACCATACTCACTCACTCTTGAAACACCACATGTTAGTACACTGCCCAAGAAGTCATGAATCCCCAAGCCAAAGCCACATCACAATAGTATATAATTTTAGGAACCTACCAGTCATATCATTCATTTTTTTATCTTACACATTTCACAATATCTGAAATACATATTTTATTTCAATTTATCATATTTTATTGATAGATTAATAAATTATTCACTATTTCCCATGGCCGCAAGCTATGGGATTCGAACCATGGGAGCCGTGCCAATTTACACGGGTAAATTTTAGGGGTAAACAAAGAACGTGATCTAGACTGCCAGTTCTCGGACTTCCATTTTGGTGGAAGCCTCGGTGGCTGAGTGGGTTAGATCGCTGACTTTGTGTGCTGGCGATCAGGTGCCTCAGTCTGGCAGTGTGGGCCCGAATCCCGGACGGGACTCAACCCCCAAAAAGTATGTGAATCTGTCTTTTACTGAGACAGTGTTATCCCAAATATAACATTTGTTACATAAAGGTTCTGGTTGACTGGTGTTGAAAGAGTTAATGATTCCATGATTCAGTAAGTCAAGCTATCTTTCATCCTTTTCACAATAATCACAATGTTCATAGTTAAAATTCTCCCTATATCATGTCTAGAGAGAAATGCTTTACTAGATATGATTTGGGATTAATCTGAACATGTATTAACATACGTCACAGCCCCGTGCGGAATCCTTGTTGGTATAGGTCCGTCCCCAACAATCTGTACTTGTCGTAGGAGGCACCCTAATGGATCAGGTGGTCAAACTTAGTGATTGCTTGCCATCGTACCCAGTGGCGTGGGGCCTTGCTCACAACATCGAACTGTTTTGTCTGGCCAATACTTGATTATTTACAGGCCATTGTCACATAGCCCTAATATTGCTTAGTGTGGCATTAAGTAACAAAGGTTAAGCATACATCCCAGGTTAAGCACCTGACTATCAGCTATCAGTATTCAGTGTTACTGTGAGTAGCTTCTGATTGCCCTGTCAGTTTGGACCACTTGTATACCTCGTGCTGAACAAATCATGTGGCCTTCCTTTGCAATATTTGTATAAATTGTTTAATATGGAGTTTAGTCAGTATTTGTTTACAGCACCTCATGTTTGTCTGCAGTAAAAGGCGACCGCCTCCGTGGTCTAGTGGTAGAGCGTCCGCCCGGAGAGCAGAAGGTCCGGGGTTCAATCCCCAGCCGCGTCATACCAAAAGACGTTAAAAGATGGTACTTGTTGTTACCCTGTCTGGCGCTCGGCATTAAGGGGCTAAAACAAGGACTGGTCGGCTCGGAGTCAGTATACTGTGTCTGAGTGAGGTATTCATGTTAAACTGCAGCATGGTATCTCAGTGAGCTAGCACTATAAATCAGCATTAGTTGGGACTTGTACAAGCAGCCACACACATCATGCATGCACATCACTATATGAGTGCAATAATCTTAGATGCGACATTAAACCCAATTTCACCTCACCTCACACCTCACCTCACCTCACCTCACCTCACCTCACCTCACATCACATCACATCACATCACATCACATCACATCACATCACATCACATCACATCACATCACATCACATCACATCACATCACATCACATCACATCACTTGACACTGCTGCATATACATCCAACACAAGTTTTCACAAAGTCTGCTTAGTACTCTTGAGCAGTGATATCACTTTGACATTCTTGGAAAAATATTTCTGCCCTGTGTTTGTGTAGATAACACATGTTCAATCTATTCAGTTGATTTACAATTGTGTTGTGTCCTTGCAGTTTGTGACAAGAGCTGTACGTGTGATTGATCTCATCACCAACCTGGACATGGCTGCTTTCCAGGCTCACGGAGGGCTTCTTGCATTTATCAACAGATTAGAGGTACGGAAGCCCATCATGTAATGTTGTTTGACAATTACAGTCAGGGGTAAATGTTTTACTATGTTTTACTCTATGCTGTAATCAGGGTTCTGTCTGTACAAAACTAATGAGCAGTTGAAAGAACTTGGAGTAGCTATGTTACGTAAAAAAGTGATGGAAAAGTTTGATTTAGCTCGTGTTATGATTATTGTTTGTTTCACAACTGTTAATTATCATTCTGTCCAGTTAAAAATTCTACATTGTCCACATGTGTATGTGACTCAATTATTATTTATAACAGAATGAAGTGAGCATCTGCAGAAAGGAACAGCCATTTGTAATCCGACCAGCCCGCCGTGAAGCCAGCATCGACTCCCAGCCTGAATCTCCCCCAGCCCCGATGGAAACAGACATGACCCAGAGCAGCGACAGTATAAACGCTGGCGCTTCAACTTCACTCCCAGCACCTGTAGCTCAGCCTGCAGAACCGGCAGAGCCAGATGTGCCAAAAACAGGTAAGTTTGCGGATAGTTTGATCTGATGTCTAATGTCTTGTCAGTTTATTGGCTACCTGAACTTTTCTTTACTGAAGGACCCATGACATCGCTGGAATATTGCTAAAAGTGGCATAAAAGCATGGTGGCTGAGGTAGCGCATTCTTGGTGTCCTGCAGTGTTATCGAGCTGGATTATTGTCACAAGCGATGGCAAACAATACTCTTTAACTGTCTCTGTCATTATTTAGTCAGGATTAAAAAATGGTACAAGACACAAATGTTTATACTTCTAAAAGTCAAAGTTTTAATGGGTCCATTGTCTTAAATACTCCAGCAGAAGACTTTGTAATTTTCTTAAACAAAGTTCATTGATCTAAATAAGATCTTCTGCCTTCGTTTCGTTCTTGGTTCTCCAGCCTCTGGAAAACTGATTATCTCTCGGAAGAATACCAAAGAAAGTTGATTTAGTAACCAGGAATATCATGTCATCATCTTCTGTTTGCTGTATTGCAGGTGTTCAGTGTTTTCCACAGCGAGCTGCTCTACTCAAGTCCATGTTGAACTTCCTGAAGAAGGCCATTCCTGACACAGCTTTTGCAGAGAGCATTAGACATCGTAAGTGCAGGAACATGTTGTTGTTTGTTGAGGGCTTGTTTTATTCTTGTACGTATGTTTCATTCATGAAATGTAAAAAATAATTTCTTGATATTGTGGAATAACCAAAGAATTTTCAATATACTTTGTCATAACATGTTGATATTAATTTTTTTTCAGTAATGGATGGATCTCTTCCTAAATCCCTGAAGCATATTATCAGCAATGCTGAATACTATGGACCCTCACTCTTTCTGTTAGGTAAGTTCACTGCCAGCACACTTGCTGTTTCTCAGTGAATCATTCTGATGATATTATTTATTTCATAGAAAACTTGGACTATTTAGTAACTTACATTATTTTATCTTGGAAGAATCTTTTGGAAGGAATGGTAAACCCATAGGGTTAATAAAAATAGTATGTGCACTTTTGCAAATATCACTTGACGTTCACCTGTGTAATTTTTATGTCATCCGGACTGCATTGTTGAAGTCATTTGAATCTTATAGTGATGTAAGATCGGAATGACGTCCAACAAAAAACGTCTTAGCTGAATTTTTCCCCGTCAAAATGGATGTTTTCTGAGAAGGCGGTTGTGATAAGCGGATTTTTCCCTAAAGGGGAGCTCCAAATGATTAAGCAATCATGGGTTATGAAGAAATTAATGCATAGGCGTAAGTAAACTAGCACGTGTGTCATACTGATTTTATAAAACTCGTGCAAGAATTCATGTATTGGGAAATATATGTATTCTGACTCTCGTTTCTTAAATCTGTATAACACACATGTTAGTTTACTAACGTCTATGTATTAGAAGTGATTGATATTTCATTACTGTTTGATTGTCAAAAAAATAAATTGAATCGTCTTTCAATGTGTTTCTACTGAAAGCATTCATAACGTTAATAGACCATACTTAGTCTCCACCTCAGATTAATATGTCATGTGCTCATGTGTAAATACTAAAAGTATTACTATGTATGATTTGTTTTCAGCTACTGATGTTGTGACAGTTTACGTCTTTCAAGAACCTTCTCTTCTGTCATCACTTCAAGACAATGGCCTCACTGATGTGGTGCTCAATGCCCTGCTTATCAAAGATGTGAGCAGACTTTATTACTTGAAAACACCAACTCTAAATTTAGATATAGTCTCAGTTGACTGTTAGAATTGGTTTAATATGTTTGGAAAATATAAGCAAAATTTACATTCCTACTTAAAAATAATTTCTGTTTAACTCTTTCAACACCGTAGGCCGGTTATCCGGCCAAGAAGCATCGAGTCCCCAGACACCGCAGGCCGGTTATCCGGCCAAGCCGTAGTCACGTCAAAATAGTACTATATTTTTATGGACCTACCTGTAATATCATTCATTTATTAAATCTATCACATTTCACAATGTCTGAAATACATATTCCATTTCAATTTAACATTTTTTATCGTTAAATTAAAAAATTATTCACTATTTCCCGCGATGTTATTGAAAATAAAATTCTCGGACACACATTTCGACAACGGGTCCACATCGAACACGTCAAAGAGGAAAATAAAGACGTTTTAAACAAATCTTTAAATATATTATACAAAGTAATATATAAAATCAACAAAAATATATCTAAAAGTAATCAAACTTACATCTAAGTTATTATTTTCATCTTTTCGTGCGATCGCGTGTAATGTAAGTCAAATGACATCTCGGCTTTCTTCGCCTTGAATTCTCGGCTCGGACACGATGTTTAATGCAAAAATATATGCATGAAAAATCTTTGTCACAGCTCGTAACCTAGCACGATACATTCACGAAGTTCCATATTTTTAATATATATCGTGATTTCCTGCTCAAAACGTTCAGAATAACACGATTTAACAAAATTCTTTCGCAAACTTCTGTAATTTATCGAACACGAGCTTGGTATCACAGCTGTAATTTGATTGCCTGCCTTAGGTCACGTGCTCAAAATTGACCAATCACGAAACTTGTAGCAGATTTCAGCAAGAAAGCGTCATTAGAAACCAATTTTAATCCAATGAAATCGCTTGTTATAACTGCGGAAAAAAACCAGTCGATGTTACGAGTGTGTAGATGAAGCAATAAGCTTTCCAGCGATGTGTCATATGCCATTCTTCGACGAATGTGTTATTCATACGAAACCTCGAAAACGGGGGTATTTCTTCATTTTACTGAGCGGACAGTCGCTGTTATCGGGAAATGGGTGATGACAGAGACTATTTATAATTCTTTTTAAAATGATTTTCCAATAACGTAAACAATGAAAATAAAATAGAAATAGGTACGTGGATATTATGAAATCATATATTTGCCGAAAATCGTCAAGTTTTCGCTTCCTTGGTCCTTAATCTGGATGTTAACAACGTGTTAGCGTACATTTTTTTATTTACAACGAATTTAATTAAGTTGTAAATGCATTATTTTAAATAATGTGAAAAACATAACTTTCATATTTATAAACCATAGGATCAGACCTTTCAAATGGTGTATAACATGTAGTAGCAAATATATTTTACAAGCAGGTATTTTCTTTGATAAATGTTGACTTCATCTATCACACAAGAGCCTCTGGGAACTCCGTGTCCCAGCAGTAAACACTTCTGGTTGACTGGTGTTGAAAGAGTTAATATGTTTATATTTTCTAAGCTGTATTTTTAAAGTTTGGTGCTATGTTAATAGTCTCTGAAATCTCATAACTTTTTGAAATCATTTGTGTTGGTTTATGACTCTAGTATTTTGATTCAATATCACTTATTTTTTATTTTAGGTTCCAGCAACACGTGAGGTATTAGCATCCTTACCCAATGTGTTCAGTGCTCTGTGTCTGAACACTCGAGGTCTTGAAGCTTTTGTGGAGTGTCGTCCATTTGACAGACTTTTCAAGGTGCTTTTATCCCCAGACTATCTGCCAGCAATGAGACGAAGACGAAGCTCAGACCCTTTCGGTATGTCTTTGTTTTTACACTTCAACCTAGCTTGAAGTAGAAACAAACTGTTAGTTTTATTTTTGTTAAGGGGGCATGGGTGGCTTAGTCTTGTTAAGGGGGCATGGGTGGCTTAGTCATCAAAGGCACCACAGTTTGCTGTGCTGAGTTGTGTCCGTTAGGTATGCCAGGAATCTGTTTGTGGGTATGAATCCTGGTTCACCCCGATTATGTTTCTAGGTTTGTCATCATACCGATTGCTTGTGGGTTTCACCAAAGTGGTAAAAGCCTAAGACCTGCATCACTAAGGGCTTTCCTTCCACTTCAAGCTGACACAACTGAAATACTGTTATAAGTGGCTTTTTACGCAACACACTCACAGTTAATGTTTCATCAAGTTGATAGTAATGTCTTCTCCTTGAATCAGACAAAACTGATATTGATCTTTTGTGTTTTGCAAATTGTGTTAATTATCTGCCTGCTGCCTAGAAAATGGCAGGAGGAAAAGTAACTGGCATCACTTGCAAGATGTTTTGCAGTTTCTATCATGAATGATTGTATTCTTGATTTTAGGTGATACTGCCAGTAATTTGGGCAATGCCATGGATGAGTTGATGAGGCATCAGCCTTCTCTCAGGACAGATGCAACCAAAGCAATTATTAAGGTAAAAATCTGCACCTGAGGAGTCATTACCTTAAACTGAATATTACTCTTTATGAGCCATGTTTCTGTGTCTACTTATCAATATGTATTCATGAAAACTTTTTCTGTCTGTGAAAGGATGTTTGCATACAAGTGTATTGATTAGGCTAAGAAACATAATTGGTTCTCAGACAATAACATAGGTGCAGATGGGCCATAGTCTGGCTGATGGATATGTATGACTCGTGCTTTCACCTTCCATTTTGTATTGTTTATGGATCCGGTGTCAGGATCATGAAGTTGTGCTTGCATAATGTTCCTGTGTTTTGTTTATAGTGTTTGTTTCTTATTAAATTAAAATTGAAGTGCCAAAATATAAATTGCAGTGATGAATTGTTTTCTATGACCTGTCTATGTGACACAACTTTGAAAAATACCTCTAGCACCCCCAAAACTATTGGGGATAAATGGCCATCTAGACACTTCAATCTCAGCTGTTTGCTGACTGATGGTAGTGACATTAGATATGCTTTCACACTGAGTGGTTCTACTTTTAAAGGTGAAATACTTGCTATTGTTTTCTTCAGCATCAAACAACTCACTAATTATAACTTACAACTCAACTACAGTTTTTCGTTATACCCTTTTGTGATTGTGACAATTTCTTGTACAGCTTTTAGAAGAAGTCTGTGCCATGGGAAGAGATACCAAGTACATCTGTCAAAAGCAGCAGCCAAAGGCAGAGCAGAATATGGCACTGTCAATCCGTTCCCCTCAACCAGCTGACACAGGTTCATCTGATGAGGATGAAGAGGAGGAGGAACTGCCTAGCACTGCAAGTCAGAGTACATCAGCCAAACCAGCTCTCTCACCCACACAGGACTCTATGCAGTAAGTCATATCTGACTGTCAATAAGTTGTCTCTAAAATCTTCCCATTCGATGTGATAGTAAAGGTTTTTTGTTTTTTTAGAGTAAACAGGATTTTGTCCCTCTATTTAACCTTTTTGTCATGCCATTTGTATATAAAGGTTAACTTGATTCCTGAGTTAAGAAATTTGTTTTTACCTGCTTAGTCATCAGAAAAGTGTTGTTTGTCGATAGGAAGTAAATTAGGCTGTACTTGCAGAACATACTGTCAGTTGGTACAACTGAAGGGGGAATTTTGCTTTTCTGAAAAGCTGTTCTGTTTTGTTGCAGAAGCCAGTCTGCTTCACCTGACAGGCAGGCCATTCCTCTCATGGATTATGTTCTAAATGTGGTAAGTGTTCGTCATGTGTCACTGATATAACAATACATTTGACTGACATTGAAATCATGTATCCTGTTTACAGAAGGTACCTGTTGCCATTTGAGACTGTTCATTCACTATTTGTAAGTGCTAACATATTCATTTTGCAGATGAAATTTGTTGAGGCCATTTTAAGTAACAACTCGACAGATGACCACTGCCGTGAGTTTGTCACACAGAAGGGCCTCCTCCCACTCATGGGCATCTTGGGACTGCCAAATCTTCCTATTGACTTCCCTGCATCACCTGCGTGCCAGGCTGTTGCAAGTGTCTGCAAGGCTATTCTTGTAAGTGATTGTGATAACATATGATAGGCTTTATGCTTTCACTGCCCAATCAGTATTTGTGGGAAACATTCATTCATTCATTCATTCATTCATTCATTCATTCATTCATTCATTCATTCATTCATTCATTCATTCATTCATTCATTCATTCATTCATTATTTACCACTGATTAATATAATGTTACAGTGATTTATGAAGTAGGTCAGACTTAGACTTTGCATCTTCCTGAGGCAAGAGCGTCCACTAGCCTTATTATCAAAGTCTTGTTTCCACCCTTGCCACATCAAGCCCACTTTCCTGTGCTAAATATGATTGGCCTATGGCACATGTTGTTAGTCAAATCAGAATGTTTCAACATCCACAACTGGTACACCTTCGTATGAAAGAGATATGCCGCTGCCTGTCGTTTTTGATACGAATGTTTTTTTCAATTTATAAACCCCTCAAAGATTGCCTATCTATGTGTGCCAGAGATGAAATCCTGATCGACTATGTCGTCAGCATCTTTGTGAAGCTATACAAGATAAGAACAGCGATTTGATTGGATAATGCGTTTTCAATACAAGAAGCACAACTCGTGATCTACACGAGGTGGCTCCAGGGTCGAGCCAAGGAAAGTAGCCTTGATGTGGCAAGGGTAGAAACAGGCTTTGATATAGGCTAGTGGACACGCTTGCCTCAGGAAGATACTTTGAGACTGTTCATTGGTTTGTTCACATTATCAGTCACTGGTTTCTCTGCTTAGACTCACAGTGCATGTAAGAATGTGAAGCCGATTTATTCTGTCTTTGACAACAATTTTCTTATCTCTGCCACACTGAATCTAGCATGTTTGTTTTCTCTAAACTGATGTTGAACAATGTAAAACAATAACATACTTTCACTTTTTCTTTTACAACTTGCAGAGCTTGTCTAGAGAACCCCAAGTATTGAAGCAGGGATTGCTTCATCTAAATGAAGTGCTACAAAAATTGGAGCCGTTACACAAGCCCTTGGACCCCCCAGGTGGCTCTGTGTTGCTACGGGAACTGGCCAGCGTTGCTAACATCCCTGATGCCACTCTGTCCCCCCAGGCCACACCCCTCCTCCATGCCCTGTCGGCAGCGCATGCTTACATCATGATGTTTGTACATGTGTGCAGGATGGGGCAGGTCAGAAGAAATGTGGTATCTACTAGCTTGCAGTGCTCTCATGTTCTCTGTTCTGTTTCAAGTTGTGGTTTTTGGTGTATTGATGCAGCTTTTAGTGTTGTTGCTGGGGTGGGATGTGGGATGGTTCTGGGATAACGGTCTTAGAACTTTGGAAGAAAACAGCATTTTTACATTTAAAAACCACCAGAATCTATGCATGTATCTTATCTACACGCTGCTTGCATGTGCTTAAAGATGCAATGTTTGAAAGGATCTTGCTCTGAGCTGCATGAATACATCAATGTCTGAATTTCAGAAACTATTTGGCTCTGTAACCTAAATTCAGCGAAATCATCATGGTGTAACTGAAAATGGATAACTATTGTAACATTAAAGATGTATTTACAGTATGTAATCAGACTTAGGAAACACCCGAATGATGATATCTGAACTTCAGACTCAAAAGTATTTGTTGTAATTTGTTCCAAGGAGCACTAACAAGCTGAAGAAAGCTGGCTACTCTTGTGTGTATCATTGCCCCATGTTTACTGAATGTGACTTAAAATGCCACAAATTCATTACTATTTTTTCAGCGAAATATTTTTTTTAAGAGCCTGGGTGGGAGGTGTTATCTTTTTATTGTACTCTTCTCTTTTCACAAAGGGAACAGTCGATGGGTTTTAAGCATTGTATGTTACTTTGATACAACAATAGTGATCACATGCTAATTTGGAAGACTGATTGTGAATGTAAATACCTTGCCTGATTTGCCCAACCTTGTTTAACTGCTTGAAAAGTAGAATTTTGCATTTTTCGTGCGCATTGAACAAGATAAAAATTATGTTTTGAAACATTTCATTTTGATGAATACTTTCAGGAATGGCCTGGATTTTATGAGATTATTAGAATAAATTTATCTATACCTGCCTGTAGTACGTAGTATAACTTCATTTTCATTGTTACTAATGTCAAAGATAACTGAAAATACTGATTAAACCAGTGACAGATTAGACACAGAAGACCCTATCTCCCTCCTTCTCTCTCCTCTTTTTTTTCTCTCTTTCCCCCCCCCCCCCCCCCCAAAAAAAAATATTCAGTTGTGAAAAGTAGCCTTCAACTCATACAATGACTTGGATGTTGTCTTTGTCTTAGGACAAATGAACATAGTTTTCCACTGCCACAACCTGTCTGTTTTGATTTGTGACATGACATATTCAGACTAGGATGCAAAGAAATGAAAGGCTTGTTAGTTGGGTTATATCCCTCAAATATTACTATTCCCTCATATGCTCTTTTCAAGTTTATTCACTTTTTAGACCTGCTCCTTGGAACATGTGTCTTTGTCGGAAGCTTTTACTACTAATACTGCTTTTGCTCAAATTTGAAGACATTAAATGTTTTGCTCTGAACTGGTATATAACAAGGCTTTGCTTAGAGTAGTACCCTAGCTATCACCATGTTAATATGCAAGGGTATTTGCTTTTCACCCTTTAATTGAATGTCTTATACTCTTGCTTGTGCTTAGCTGAAGCAGTGTATTACTTGCACACATTTGTCTTTAAAGATGTTACTTATTAAAAATCAAATTCCATCAACTTTAATTGTAAGTGTTGACTCTTGTTGCACCTGTGTTTGCATGTTGTTTGCAGCCTATGACCATATGAGAAACAGATAATACATTTCATTTTCATTGCTTCAGATTGACATCAGAACCATATCAGTGAGCCACTGGGGATCGGAGTTAGGACTACAAGTCTTGAAGGGGCTGAGTCGGCTTTACACATCACTTGTGTGGGAAAGCACTGTGCTACTGGCTCTCTGCAGTGAGGACATTTTGCCCCCTGGATGTGAGTTTGGTAAGGAGGATATGGACAAGATTCTTCCAAAGGATCAGAAAAGTGATAAGGATCCCAAAGAAGGGGAGGAAGGTTTGACGAGGAGTGTTGGAGAAATGGGCAGTAATGGTGTCAGTGCTGCTATGGAATCTCTCACCACTTCGGAAACCCCTGAAACCCCCATGGAAGTTGTGTCCGATTCTGCTTCCTCATCAGACAAAGACACGAAAAAGTCAAAACTCTCACCTACACTTCAGGCTCAGATCAAACAGCTGAAGCCATTATTATCTGTGTCCTCCAGACTTGGGCGAGCTCTTGCTGAGCTGTTCGGCCTCCTGGTCAAGTTGTGTGTTGGAACACCAGTGCGACAGAGACGGAGTCATCAGACCCCACCTACTCCAACAACACCCACACCGGCTGCTCAGGCTGTTGCAAAGGCGCTAACAAAACTTTTGGCAAATGGATTGTCATGGAATCCTCCTCCACATGCACCTGTACCAAAGCTTAGGTAAGGCAATGATGTGACTACTGACAATCTAATAAAACACCAGACCTTTATGCAAGGGTTATGTTGCTGTGTGGGAAATATGTAGTCCAATTCATTTAACACATTTGTTTTTTTCTGTTGTTGACTGTAATGGAAATAAGGCCCAAATGGTATATGTTGCCATGATACCTGAAGAGTCCTGTAGGAATTTACCTGATCACCATTGTGAGTGAAATATGTTAACAGGAAAACAAATATGCAAATAGATACAAAACACTGATGATCGAAGATGGTAAGTCAAAACTGTCATAACTGGATGTGTTTGGGACTTACTTTTCAGTTGGTTTCAACCATATATAATCATATAGTGACCCAACAAGAGGACAGCAAATTTGTATCATATAATTCTGTAACAGAAAAAGGTAAGACTAATATAAGCAGTGATAAGTGCAAATCGCAAATTTAGGATGACACACATTTTGCCTTCCAAAGTTTCCATATTAGAAAGTATATCAGTTGTCTTCTGTTGCAGGTTAACATTCCTTGTATGTTCTGTTGGATTTACATCACCGATGTTGTTTGATGAGAAGAAACAGCCATACCATCTTATGCTGCAGAAGTTTGTCTCATCAGGGGGACAAGATGCTCTGTTTCAGTAAGAATTTCTATAGTTATTTCCTTAGCATGAAACTTTGGTTGTTGCTTTATCATGTACTAAATGTATACCATCTGTTTGGAAAGGTTAACCACACTGCCATTTTCTGTATAACATTTATTTTAAGGCTGATTTTGACACTTACATAAAACTTGTTTTGATAGTTTCTTTTATTTATTGATTTATGAGCAAAAGCCATGACATGACACAGTCTGTGCCAAAAACCTTTGAGTCCAATAGCCCGAACCTGTCACTTGACATGATTTTCAGTACATCTTAGGCTTTTGTTAGAAAGCTTATAAGACCCAATGAAATTGTACTCGACTTGGGCTTTGAACCAGTGGCTAAAGTCACAGACTGATAACACATTGTTTTTTTGAAAGTATGTTATTCCTACTCTCCTTTGAAACACAGTAGTCCCTGCTGTATGTGAAATGTCATCGACGTCACTAGTAAATATTTCACTGTCTTGACTTTTGCAGGGCCTTCTCTTGGGCATTGTCTATGAATGGAAAAGTTCCCTTAGTGGATGGTTTGGAACATCCTGATTTACCAGGTAAGAATGTGATGAATGTACTCACAATTGATTAACATGTGCAAATATACATAGGAGAGGTATCCAGGCTCATTATTCGTTCCACACACTGTCTGTCAAACTCTGAAGAACTCATCAATTATGTGAAAGTGCAAGTTAAGGATGAAACTGGTAAATTGATGGAAATGTGAGCTATGTTTTTGTTTTATAACCCCTCTGTATCTTCTGAGAGGTGGTGTGAATATCACATTCTGCTTAGTGGTCAACCACCATACATATGAGACATGGATGATGACTTAAGTCCACCAGAACTGTTACTGGCTATTAGGGATGTCATGATACACTATCACTTTGATGTATTGATAATATTCTCTAAAAATATGACCTGTATTGATTCATAGTTTAATCCTGTATCGTTTCACACATGGACCCATTTGATCATACTTAATTTGTTCAATTTTGGGGGCACATCTAAGGTATTTTGCAAACCCGGAATTTGCATTTTTATTAGTAACAGAAAATACTTATGTTGACACTCCATTTTTATCTGAGATAAGGCATTGATTAGACCAGATATTCAGGAAGTTTCAAGCCTTTTTAATAGTGTTTATGCCCTGAGAAATAGAAAAAATCATGCAAAATTGCTGCACATTAAATATCACAATATGTATAATATTGTGAACAGAATGGCGATACATATAGTATTGGGAGATAGTCGTATCGTGCCATCCCTACTGGCTATTCAGTGACAGACAGCTGAATCAAATATTGATGCAGTGTTTAAATTAAGCATGAAAGTCATGATACCCTGTCATAATCCTCATGTTAAAAGCCAAAGATTTAGCCACTAGATTCAAATACCAAAGGAGAAGACCTGTTCACCCAGCAGTCACCTTAATTCGAACCTCTGCTCGTGTAGAACTTCAATAGTCTCATTTATTTCAAACATGTATTGGGGCGGTCGGGTAGCTTAGTGGTTAAAGCGCTCGCTCGTCACGCCGAAGACCCGGGTTCGATTCCTGACATGGGCACAATGTGTGAAGCCCATTTCTGGTGTCCCCTGCCGTGATATTGCTGGAATATTGCTAAAAGCGGCGTAAAACCATACTCACTCACTCACTCACTCACTCACTCACTCACTCACTCACTCACTCAAACATGTATTGTATTTGAACTGTTTTGATGTTGCAGATGGATCTGGAGAGTTTATAGATGCATGGCTCATGCTGGTTGAGAAGATGGTCAACCCCAAGACAGTACTAGAATCTCCACACACTCTTCCTACAAAGTCAACACAACCAGGATTCGCTCCCTTTAGTCCTGTGCAATACCTCATCAGCACACAGAAGGTATGTTTCTTGAATCACAGTAAACCAAGGAGGGGGTTTAATCCATTTTTAGTGTTTTTTCAACATGAAAACACTTTAGTTATTTCTTTCTTTTAGTTTATATGGTACCACTGTAGTCTAAGAGACAATATTGCTGACTTTCACATGAAGGATATACTAACTCATCTATGTCACCCATGAAGGTCCAGGTTAGAATAGGTCTTCAGCAACCCATGCTTGCTGTAAAAAGCTACTATGCTTGTCGTAAGAGGCGACAGACAGGATTTGATGGTCAAGCTTGTTGCGTGGATCGATGCTCATGATGTCAATCACTGAATTGTCTGGTCCAGACTCGATTATTTACTGACCGCTGTCATATAGTTGGAATATTGATGAGTCGGCATTAAACAACAACCGAAAAAAACATCAATGATTAAGCTGCCAAAAGATGATTGATAAAAAGGGTGTCATTTATGTTTGTTTGAAATCTTGTAGGCTGCATTCAATGCTGTGATGAATCTGTGGAACAAGAAGCCAATCAAAGTGTATGGCAGTCGGATGTCGGAATCTATTCTGGCAATTCTGTGTCACATCATCAAGGGAGAAGGAATTATCAAGGTATTTGTGGGAACATTGCATGCTCTCACTGTTGAGGAGTTTCCTTTTTGGCATTCCTCAAACACATATTGTATTGCTTTGTTATGGTAATGTGCTAATAAACATTGTTTACATGGTGAACATGGTGATTGTGCCAGACAGTGTGGATTGTTGATCATAAAAGGAGTCATTGGATTGTCTAGTCCTGATTCCAATATATACAGGCAGCTGTCATATAGCTGGAATATGGTTAAGTGGGGCATTAAAAAACAAACATTTATCCTTCATTAGATTGTCATTCCTTATAGATTAATGTTCATGTCATGTTAACATTTCTCTGTCAGGAGTACCTTGCTAAAGAAAAGGAGGAGAGTGCAGCTGCCACCCCAGGAGCCCAGACTCCCTCTCCTGCTAGTTCTGTAGCTAACAACATGGCTGCTGCTGGACCCTCTGTCCCAGTCCCTGTGCGGCAGGAACCAGAAGTCAACCAGGCTCATCTCCAGCAGGTATGTCATGATGATGAAGGGTTACGCTTATTAGCAAGTATAATCATTGAAACGAGACTAGCAAAAGCCAATCATTCATGTTGCTTGAGGGGCGGTGGGGTAGCCTAGTGGTTAAAGCGTTCGCTCGTCACGCCAAAGACCCGGGTTCGATTCCCGACATGGGTACAATGTGTGAAGCTCATTTCTGGTGTCCCCCGCCGTGATATTGCTGGAATATTGCTAAAAGCGGCGTTAAACCATACTCACTCATGTTGCTTGATGCCCAGACCCGTGAAGATCCAGGATAGAATAGGTCTGGATTGTCTGATCCAGACTTGATTATTTACAATCATATATATAGCTGGAATAATGCCGAGTGTGGCGTTAAACAACAAACAAACCAACCAACCAAAGCTTGATGTCCATGTGTGAAAAATGTTAAAGATTGTGGTCTCTATGTATTGTGTAGGTTAATCAGCAAAAGATCATGTTCTTTGCCTCGGCACTGGCGGATACAGGGGGAGGGGATTTGCAGGGGACGGCTTACATGCCATTGTACACATTTTTTTTAACTTTGTGACTCCCCCTTTTTCAAAATCCTTGATCTGTCTCATCTAGTTTTATTTGTACTGAAATGCTAATGTTAAACAAACAGGGTATGATGATTGCTTATGACTACCTTAATTTGCACTTTTAAAGATTACACAGAGATTAGTCTAGAAGTTGGCCATGGTGCTTTTTCAAGCAGGGCTCTATTGTAGTGAATGCAGCATCTGCAAGATATGCTTTTCTTTATCAGCTGATGGACATGGGATTTACTCGAGAGCACTGTATGGATGCACTGCTGCACACAACAAGCCTGGAACAAGCCACAGACTACCTCCTGAATCATCCTCCCCCTGCACTGCAGGTGCCGGTAAGAACACTTGTTGAAATTGTGCTTGTCGGAAGGACAAAACGTTTTATCATTTAACTTAAGCATTTATCCATGACATAAGCTTATGACATAAAAACATGTATGTCATACCCCAATGACATAAGTATGCAAATTAGATATGCAAATTAGATAACCGGAAGAGCGAGCGGTTTGATTTGAAACTATATATTATAAGTGAAGTTACACCAGAGATATAATCAGATTACACAGAATCGTTGTTGTTACCGTTATTAAAGTTTCAATTATTCTGCGAAAGTCTGTTCAAGTATTTTGTTTAAAATAATCCGAGGAACTTTTTTTCTCGGAGAATTGTTTATTTTGGTTTACATGGCTATGGAAGACATGTATCACTACGCACGATCTATACGTAAGATTTCGACAAGTTGCTGATGTTAATGTTTAATGCAATTATTCCTTAATTTGGAAGCAAAAATGTGAAAATGATAAATAGAATTCATCACTCGTGTTTTTTAATATGGGAAATATCAACCTAGTCCCGTTAATCGGTATTTGCCTCGCCAAAGGCTCGGCAAATACCGATTAACTAAGACTCGGTTTATATTTCCCATATTAAAAAACACTCGTGATGAATCCTCTATGTATTAACTGTATATGCGGAGAAGTGTCGCTTGACAGAAGTGAAGAATGTCTTAACACTGACCACACTGTTTGAAGACAAGGAATGCACTTGACAGAATGACATGTTTTATTGAAACTGACCACTCTGTATAAAAATGTGCTTGTCGGAAGAACAAAATGTTGTATTAACTCAGACCGCCGTATATGCAGAGAAGTGTCGCTTGACAGAAGGAAAGAATGTCTTAACACTGACCACACTGTTTGAAGACAAGAAATGCACTTGACAGAATGACATGTTTTATTGAAACGGACCACTCTGTATAAAAAAAACATGACCATAGGTTAACTCACTTCGACCAAAGATCAAGGGAGCTGATGTCATCTGTTAAAATTCATCTTGAAATTATCCTCTGAAAGTCACTTTAGTACCTTGCCATCTATTTTGAAGTTCCGTTTATGGATACAAGGGCGACATATTGCAAACACTATTAGGAAGAGTTGTGGCCCCTTTTATGTTATTTTCCTTTTTAAGTGCTTAACTTCATATTTTTTCGTGAAATGTATACACAACATCCCAGTGCTGAACTGTTGTTCTGGAATTGTTTTAATTTTTATCTTTTGTTTTTCCAAGGCAACAAGTTCAGATTAGGGTCAGGTTTTTTCCTGGTGCCAAACCTTCATTATTCCTCCATGAAACTTCGCAAATGTATTAGGCTAGTTAGAACAGGTGTCTATAGTTTTCATTGAAATCAGAATAGATTATTTATGACTATAATCATGCAAGGATGGTTGGGGTTATGGATGACAATGTCTTCTTGTTTGAATTTAGAAATGATCTTCTATTTAAAACATTCACCACAGTGGATAGCGAATCTTATGATATTGTTACTTTCTTTTGTACCTGAGCTTGCTGAGATATAAAACTGTTATGTATTTACAATGAGGTGAGCTACAGGACCATGGTACTGTATTTGTTGTCGTTTGTTGAATGTTTTTGAGGATGATTCTGTTCTTATAGATGTATTTTAACTTAATTCTGTTTTTGATGATGATTTCTTACCAAGATTTGTTGAATTTGTAGATGATAGTGCCCTTTGTCAATATGAAATATACATAATAAAATAGTGGATTTTGGAAGATTTAAATCAAGCGAATGAGAATGCCAAGAAACCTAAGCCTGATGTCTCTTTCAGAGTTCCCTCTCTGTAAACACATGCACAAGGATTTTGTCTGAGACAAATGACACGATAACATTTTCATGATTTCATCAACTTTTGATGGGACATTCTTCTATATCTACCAAATCTGAAAGGCATTTTGGATGACAGTCAGGGTCCCAGAAAATGAAGCAACCTGCAGCATTAGAAACTGGCACTGGTCCTGTTGTCCTTGACAATCTGCCCAATAGTTAAGGTATCATAAGGACAAGTAGAAATTAGCCCTTTTTAGGGGTTTTGCTATATGTTATCATTATAAGGACGAGTGGACTAAAACTCTTGGTTTCTAACTCTGACCTGAAACCCTGCATGGATTGTTGTAGGTTTGCCGTAGTCCTTAAGCCAGATCAAGTGTTGAATCATTTGTTCAATTGTTTGATAGGCATTACTCAGAAGTTGACGGATGACAAAGTAAATAAATTGTGTCTACTTTGTCAAGTGTATTTTCCTTGAGTTAATGTAAGTGTACAAGTGAGGCTGCTGATACAACTATGGTGTTTCTGAATGGCAGGGTCTTGGTATGGACATGGACATGTCTGAAGAGGATCAGATGATGCGTGCAATAGCTATGTCTCTAGGGGAAAATGTGGTCATGTCCACTGACCAGGTTAGTGGCTTCCAGTAACTCAAATATTCAAGCAAACCTACAAGACATCTGCTGTGTGCAAAAGATGTTTCCATAGTTTACTTTTGTTCCATAATTAACAAAGTTGATATTCAGTTATTAATATCTATTTCGCATGTTTTGGATTTCTAACACCTTTGTTGAAGTAATTGAATGAGTTTGAAGTAATTGTTCGAATGGACGTTTATTGCATCATGTGTGTTTTCAGGAAGAACCAAAGAAAGAAGAAAAGAAAGAAGAAGAAGATGAAGAACAAGAAAAACAGGAATTGGAAGAACCTTTGGACAAATCTGTATTAGACAACTTCACTCAAAGCGTTGTAACAGGTACTTGTCATTATAAGGAGAGACGACCCGTGAAGAATCCGGGGTAGAATAGGTCTTCAGCAACCCATGCTTGCCGTAAAAGGCGTCAACAGCGGGATCGGGTGGTCAGGCTCGCTGACCTGGTTTGAAGCATGTCATCGATCCCAATTGTGTGGATCGATGATCATGATATTAATCACTGGATTGTCTGGTCCAGACTCGATTATTTACAGACCGCCGTCATATAGCTGGAATATTGCTGAGTACGGCGTTAAACAACAAACCAACCAACCAATCTAAGGAGAGACATTTTGAATACCGAAAATGGGTATTGGTTTTATTGCCTATGGTGCCGCCTGAGGCCTTCAGCTGACTGTGGTGGTTCTATCTCCCCCTGTCCACTCTTGAGTGTTTCTAAGTGGGCCCAGCTATCTAAACAGCCTCAGTTTGCTGTGCCAAGATGGAGTGGATTCAGTTGGGTAGTTTTCCAGGGACAGTTGCCCTGATTGTGTTACAGTTATGATTCCATGGCAGCAAATGTCTGCTACCTCCATATTTTTAGCTCACCTGACTGAATGTCAAGCGGGCTTTTGTCTTGGCCTCTTGATACAGTGTAAACAGTCTCATCAGAAACCACTGGACGAAGCTGAAATTTCACATGCTTGCTCCCATCAATGTTGACACCCAAATTTGTTCAATAGGTTCAGATTTTCATTATGGCCACCACGACAGCCATATTGAACAACCTATTTTTGACCATTTGGTTAAAATTGTAATGAAAATTGACACATTTGTTTGAGATGATCCAACTTATCCTTTTTGCTCTCTGCTGCCGGATATTGACTTTTTTCATGGCTGACTTGGCAATCCTATAGATTGAAGCAAGGCTTATTTAGACTTTATTTGCAGAAACAAATTAGTCTAAATAAGCAGATCAGATATACTTGGTGTTTATGTTAAAAAATCATTCTACGTATGTATAAAAAGGGGAAATCTGCTACCCATGCATAGTACTACCCCGTTTCATACACCTCATTCTAGGTACCATAAACTCTAAAAGTAGATGAGCTACAGTGCTGTGGTACATTTTCTATTTCCAACCCACATGGTACTGAGTTGTATTTGAAAAGCCATGTTAATCCCTATATTCCTGAACACATCCAGTCAGGGGCGTTGGGTAGCCTAGTGGTTAGCGTTCACTTATCGTGCCGAAGACCCGGGTTCGATTCCCGACATGGGTACAATGTGTGAACCCTATTTCTGGTGTCCCCCGCCGTGATATTGCTGGAGTATTGCTAAACGCAGCGTAAAACCATACTCACTAACGTCCAATCATGTCACTTCATGGTTCAGTTGTAATTGAGAGTTAATCGAATTTCAGGATTATTGTGACTGACAGAATATGAAAACAGATTAGGTCAAACTAGTGATTTTCATGAGGCTTTTATCAGAATATAAAGGCAAAGATTTTATGAAGTATATTTCTTTTTCAGGTTGTATGCAGTTACTAGACACATTACCAGAAACTGTGTACCGTGTGTGTGATCTGATGATTGTGATAACACAGAGGAATGGCAATGCATGGCGGGATGAATCTCTAGCTACGCTCGTACAACAGGTATGATTTGTTGTCATGTTTTTTTCTTCTGATCTACAGATACCTCAGTATGAGATACTTCTAAAGTACTGCAATATCTAGTATTACCTCTGATGCACATTGGGCAGTCAATAACCTTGTGGTTAAAACGTTCCCCGTCATGCCGAAGACCCAGGTTTGATTCCCGACATGGGTACAATGTGTGAAGCCCATTTCTCATTTCCCCCGCGTTGATAGCGTAAAACCAAACTCACTCACTCACTCTGATGCACATTGCGTTATGAAGGTTAATTTTAGGTCTTTGAAAGGCTTTTAGAAGTGATTAGCATAAGGAAGAGAATATATGCATGTGAACTTCTTTATTAGGAGGAACACGTTTCGGAGTATATGCTTACTCCTTCATCACCTAATGAAGAATATACTCCGAAACGTTGTGTTCCTCGTAATAAAGAAGTTGACATCCATATATTCTCTTCCTTAAAGTTAATATTTTCGTATTTGTTGTGATCACGTCACATAACAACATTACTACTAAGATTTGAAACATGTTCCATAAAAGCAGCATCCCAGTTATGAAAGTATCATCAATTGAGAAGTGTCTTTCTTGTATTCAGGTGTTCTGTCTGGCCCATCAACTCCTGGCCCAGCTGTCAGAGGGGATCTGTGTGAAGGACTCTGTAGATAAAGTCTCCAGTGAATCCAGTGCCTCACAGTTTGCAAACAGACTTCATCTTCTCAGTTTGTTGTTCGAGGTATGGTGTTGTAATTTATCAATGGAACTAAAATATGCCATTCAACTTTTGAAGTTGGGTTGTCATTTTAAGTTACATTTATGGGCTAGGTAGCCATTTTAATAGACTGATATTTAAGTTTCCAACACCCTTGTCTTAAGCGTCATTAATGAAAGGAAGTATATTTTTATAAAAATATTTCATGTTATTTGTAGGAAATGATGATGCCATGTGCGGAAGCTGTTGAGAATGGCAAATTCCTCGACTTGTTGATCCAAGTGTTGAATGAGGGACAGGAGTACCTCAGTAATCTTAAAGACCCTTCAACTCCAAAGTAAGTGTTGAAGGCAATCAGTGACTACATAACCTTAGTTAATGTGTTTGCAGTATAAACCTAATCTCTTTGCAGCAATGTAATATATTTAACCCACCAGTAAGTTCTGTAAATAGGTATATAGACGTATTTTGTTACAGATTCTTATCTAAAACCGGTCCCTCAATGATGACTTAAAACAAGCATATATCTTACTGTTTGTGATGCCAAATATAAGTCTGAGAGAAATTATATATTGATAATTTGATGGTCAGTCTCTCACTTATCATGTTTGTTCTACAAATCTATGTTGGACAGGGTATGTGATGATCTGTGGAACTGTCCGTTTATTTTGCAATCATTGTTACATTATGCCATCAACAGCATGATATTGGCAGGCATAAATGTTTTGGTTAAGTGATAAAAAGGGTTTGAAAAATCCATGTACATGTGATATTTTGTCAATCAAGTCAGAATGTGTGAGAGTTCTAAGTAATTCTGAGTGAAAAAGGTTTCATGGTATCTCCATCAAATTTAACACCCTGATTATATTACAGGTGGATGGCTCCGCTACTGCTTCTTCTTGACCTGTTCGAAAAAGTGTCTGTGATATCTAAGAGGAAGTCGGAAGCTATGAGCCTCATTGTGAGTTGGTGTTATCACTCTTCTAATCATTTTTTACATTTCAAGATTAAGATTGACTTGTCAACTTGTTTGTCCTGTGTAACAATTCTAATTTTTAAGCTTACCCTATCTCACACTGTGCATTTCTTCATTCTTCTTTTGAACATCATGTGGAAACATGCTTGAACAAAGTTTCCAGCTTCTAATACATTTTACCCAAACACATGCCTGCATCATCAGGGTCACCACCCGAACGATGGGTGATGCACTGTAATCCTGTGCTTTGCCACCTCACTCACTCAGTCATCGCCACCCTGTGGAGACATGTATTGAGTGTTTTGGTTTTTTTTATCCCCCACCCCAACAAAGTTGGTGGGGGATATGAAAAAATGTGTTCCGTCTGTCCATGCGTGTGTGTGTGCGCACGTCCCGAAAACATTTCTGGAACATAACTCAGAAACCATTTAATATTTCTCTACAAAACTTTGCATGTCTATGAGACTCATACTGAACTGGTGCCTTTTGCTATTTAGCAATTTTAGAAATTTTCCATGGCAACAAGTTGGACGTAGGCTGGTGGTGTTCGTTTCCGGAGCGTAACTAAAAAAACGTTAAATACTTTCTTACAAAACTTTGCATGTCTACCAGGCACATACTGAACTGGTGCCTTTTGATATTTAGCAAATTTTGATTGTTTATGTTTCCATGACAAGAAGTTGGATTTAAGTTTTAATATAGGGTGGGTTCACTTATGGAGTATAACAAATAAACTGTTAAATGTTTCCTTGCCAAGCATTGCATGTCTTTATATAAAGCACATACTGAACTGGTGCCATTTGATATTAAATAGTTTTAGAAATGTTTATTTTAGAATTTCCATTGCAGCTATTTTGACATGGGCTAAGAGAAATGTTGGGTCAGTTACCTGGTTTGGGACCATAACGTGTTAAAATGGGCGGGGGATATAGATGACTTCGTCGGCTATACACGTGTTGTCTTTATTATTCGGGTTCCCAGACTCAGTACCCAGTGGAGGGTGAGCTACCTTGTCTGTAGAGACTACTCTCTTCCACATAGAAGTTGCCCCAAGACACAACCGATTTGGCAGTGTCCGAAGACCTTACCTGCTCACCTCTGCTTTAGGCACGTGATGTTTCAGTATTGGTTTGATGATCCTCTGATGGATATTGTTGATCGTTCCTCTTCTCGTCTTAGCATACTTCAATCCCTCGTGCATGATTGTTAGCTTTGAGAAAGCGTTAAAAGAGATGCCAAGCTGGCTCACCCTAGTGTCCATTGGAGATAGTTCCACTTCCGGAATAGTTATAAGTCTTACACTGAAAAGATCTCTTTTCAAAGCTATGCGGTCATTCGTATAACAATGTCCTACATGAAAACTTGTAACACATAACACATGTTATACCCAATGTCATACATTTCAGGTGAAATGTTTTTAGAAGCTTGAAACTTTGTTTAAGCACATTTCCACAAAAAGATCAGAAGAAAAGAAAGAAATGTATTTTTGTGAGATAGGATAGGTTAAAAATATACAATATAATGTAAAATTTTCAATTATTTATATACAATTTTAAAATTGCAAACATGATTGATTTTGTTTCTTGGGAATTTAATTCAGGTCCTTTTTAAAAAAAAAAAGTATTGCACACTAAATAAACACTTAAAAAGAAGTGTCACCATTTTTGATACAGAAGCTTTGTATGTGGTTTAAGTATGGAAATGTATCCTACTGTTTTACTTCCGCAGGCTAACAGTCACACCTGGAAATGGTTTGATGACAGCAGTGGCAGATGGTGTAAATATAGTGTGGGCAACAACAAAACTATTGATGATGCATACAGAAGCGGAGACAGCAATGTCAGGTAAATAATATTTTATGTCCAAGTTTGGCAGTATCAAGTTGACCCATGTTGCAAGTAGCCAGCTGTTGTGGCAGTAACTGCAAAAGAAAGCCCTTCATTATAAACTATGAATTGTTGATTGTATTTCTATGCGCAGTTTGTGACAGTAACTTTTGAGGGACCAAACCAACTTGTCATTCCACATTCTTTTTCAAAAGATTTTACTTGTAATTTGAGCTGTCATTGTCAAGCTTACTGAACCAAACAGAAGTTTTGAACAAGATTTGGGCTTTGGACAAGTGGCTACAGTCAGTCCGTTGTCTGTCATGAGTAACAATGTTCTGTGTATAGTTTTGCAGGCTTTCATTAAATAGCTGTAATATATCTGATCTTTTCTACATAAGGATATTCAGTATATGATCACACTTTGCATTCAACCAAACCATACAGCTACAAGTTGATTGTAAAATTGTTCAAAATTATATAACACCATGGGTTCGTCAGGACATTTATGGTTTTCTTACTGTTGATTTTTGACAACCTGTTTCTTTACTTAGATTCCAAGCTGGGAGGCGAAGATACACAGTACAGTTCAGCTCTCTTGTCCAGGTAGGTACTTGAAGGACTATAACATTTGCCTCAATGATGACAAAAACAGACAAGCATATAACTGAACTGCTGTGTGGTCAACTTCTGTCTGAGAGCATTTTTGAAGGCGGAAGAAGAGAAGAAGTTTTGAAACTTTTCTTCATTTGCTTTCATTTACAAGTGAGGGTAATCATGATTGGTTGGTTGGTTGTTTAACGCCGCACTCAGCAATATTCCAGCTGTATGATGGCGGTCTGTAAATAATCGAGTCTGGACCAGACAATCCAGTGATTAATATCATGAGCATCGATCCACGTAATTGGGATCGATGACATGCTTCAACCAAGTCAGCGAGCCTGACGACCCGATCCCATTACAAGCATAGTCGCCAGTTACGGCAAGCATGGGTTGCTGAAGATCTATGAATGCCTATTGGTCATTGTTTCTATAACTATGTCAACTCTTTTCTACAGGTTAATGAAGAGACTGGTAACAGGCGACCGATAATGCTGTCGTTTCCAACTGCAGAAGAAAAACCTTCCACAAAAGAGGAACCTAAAGACAGCAAAAATAACACAGAAGCTTCTGGAGAGACGCCAAAGGGTATTGAATCTTGATTGCATATTCCTTTTGGGTTTGTCCTCATAAGACTTTTCATGAGAATTTGCTGGAATAACATCCTATGTACTTAAAGTTGTATGTAAATAATGTGCTTGACTGATATGGAGTTTAATAGAAAATAAACAAACCCAAGCTAAATATCTGAGTGACTGGTTATGAAAATCTGTTGGTCTCATAGCCTGGTGACTATTTTTTTGTTTGATATATACATATAACTCAAAAGAAGTTAAAGAACACCCAATTCCTTCATAGTACAACAGTTAATATGAAAGAATCTGGTGTTCTTTATGTTCTTTGAGTAGTATATGCCGGGGTTAATTTATTTGCTGCAGATATGATCAGTTCTATATGGATCCCTCCTCTGTGATGACTTCAAATTTGACAAGCATATATCTTACTGTTTGTGATGCCAAAACATAAATCTGAGAGAACATCGTTCCCCTGTGATAATAAACTAGTTAAAAAAAAGGGTTTTCATTGATGGAACAGGAAGTCATGCTCTACTTGTATTTCAGCTCCTGAGGATACGAAGATGGAGACAGAAACTGTAGAAGAAAAGGAGAAGCCACAGAAGACGGTGGTCCAAGGTTTTACAGATCAACAAATCACTAGCATAATAAAGTGAGTGTATTGGGCTTAGTATGAATGAATTGTTGTCTTCTGGTCCCATGCAACTTGACACCTTTGTATCAAAGCATTTCATAGTGGAGTTTGGACTACATGTGTTGTAACACATACACTGGTGCAGGCTGATGGCTGTTGATTGACAACATCTTTGTCTGAGAACCAGTTATTTCGCATTATGACCAAATTTCATAATTGTTAATCTTTGGCTTATTATGTTTGACATCAACTAAATGTAAAATCATAAATGTTTAGATTCAACTATGGACAGGTGTCAGGACTACCTTCCAATTGCAAAAGTTATCTTTGTGAATTAGTTCTTTGTTTGTTTGTTTGTTTGTATGTTGTTTAACTCTGCACTCTGCAATATTCCAGTTCTTTTATGTCAGTCTGTAAATAATCGAGTCTGGACCAGACAGTCCAGTGATGGACATACATCGTGAACATCGATCTACACATTTGGGTGACAAAGACATGTACCAACTATTAAGTCAGAGAGCCTGACCACTCGATTCCATGAGTCGCCACTACCAGTCAGTTGACGTTATCCCTGTTTTGATTACATTCTATGATATTGAGATTTTGTTATTTGCTTCATGATTTACAATATCTAATTTGTTCATTTCTTTTGTCCTCCAGATCCGTTGTCTCTTTGCTAAGTGTCCCAGTTGACCCCGACACACTACATGCATCGTTGAGACTTATGCTTCGATTGACCAGAGAACACAAACATGCTGTGCATTTTGCTGAACTTGGTGGACCTAAAATCCTTCTGAATTTGACACAGGCCTCAGCATTTCAAGGATTTGTCTCCCTTGCCACCCTTCTCTTCAGACATATTTTGGAGGAACCATCCTCTCTCAAGTACTGTATGGAAAAGGTATGGTTTCATTATGGAATGATCTATAGTGTTGATAACATCTCGAATTCTGTCTGCTTCTCCTTGATGACAAAGGGGCGGTCGGGTAGCCTAGTGGTTAAAGCGTTTGCTCGTCACGACGAAGACCCGGGTTCGATTCCCGACATGGGTACAATGTGTGAAGCCCATTTCTGTTGTCCCCCACCGTGATATTGCTGGAATATTGCTAAAAGCGTTGTAAAACCATACTCACTCACTTGATGACAAATTCAGACAAGCATAAAACTGAATTTCCTATTTTGGACTGAGAGGAATGATGATACAGTTAGATGCTTCTTGAGAATGAGTCTAGACAAGTAATAGGATTTGCAGGATAAAGAAAACTTTTCTTTCTTTTTCTTCTGAGCAGGTTTGTACAAATAGATGTAATTGTTTGTCCCAATCTTGAATGACTTCTAATTTCATGTATGTGCTATTATTATTTGTCTGTGGATGAACGTGCAGTGCCATGCAGACGAATTACAATGCCAGTCATAAGTGTTTTTTTAATCATTTTCCTAATTATTGTGAGTGATGCTTATTTTCAGGTGATGCGAAATGCATGCAGTGGAATAGGATCAAGTGCATGTGGAGTTGCCAACGGAAGTATAGGCTCCAAAGAGATGCATTATGTGATGAGAGTGTTGGGCCCTGCTGGATGTAGGAACCCAAGTCTGTTTGCCGAAGTGTCTAAGAATACACTACAGATTGCATTGCCTCCACCTGGCAAGATTCTCAGAGGTAGGTAAAGGCAACAACTTGCCATTTCTCTTCTGATATAGGAAGTTATTATCATGATGTGTGCCTAAAATGTATTTAGAACTTCCATAACCTCTGACTCTCTGAATGTATGTGGGACCATCTCCGTGGTTTAGTGGTAGAGCGTCCGCCCCGTACTATGGTATGGTACTATGGTACTTGTTGTTACCCTGTCTGGTGATCGGCATTAAGGGGCTAAAACAAGGACTGGTCGGCTCGGAGTCAGTATACGGTGTCTGAGTTGGGTATTCATGTTAAACTGTGGCATGGTATCTCAGTGAGCTAGCACTATAAATTGGCACCAGTCCTGACTAGTACAAGCAGCCACACAAACACACAAACACACACACACATACATGCCTGTTGCTATATAAGTGCAACAATCTTGGACGCGATGTTAAACCCCCATTTCATGTATGTCATGAACAACGATGGCATATTTTTCTGAGTGACGAAATTTCAGGTCAGTTTGAGTTTAGGTTTATGCTCATGAAACTGTACAAGCCCAATAATCTTTTGTGTTGTATGAGGCTATATAAGAAAAACTGGGCAACAAATGATTTCCTCAGACAACATTGAAACTTTTCATGTGCTGAATTCAAGACATTGCTGTAATTAACTGTTCCAGATGAGGATGAGAATCGGTACACAGCACCAAATGCACCACAGATCTTGAAATGCTCTCCTACCAAACAGCTTTCATTTGCCATCAACCAGACCGTTAAGGAGGTGGTACATGATCTCTTGAATGCCCTCATCGTGAAGTACACTTGGAAAGTTGATGAAAGTGAGTTCCAAATACAGCACGTCTTCTAGCTTTTCTTCCATGTTATTTTTCCAAATAAATGCTTAAAATGTTAGAAATTAAGTTTTTGGAGTTAAGGATTAGAGTCTCCAGAACATAAACAAAATAACAGGTTACAAATGGATTAATGGAGGACCTGTTCTTAAAAGTATCTTTAATGTAAGAAATTATGTTTTGGCCTAAGAATAAGTTAAATCCCTTTTTCTCGATACTGTACTATGAAATGACATTTTTGTCCCTATCTGCTTTAGATACATCCAGTTCTGAAGTTCGACCAGCTCAGACCTTAGCAGAAGCTATCCAGGAGGTTGTGAATGAGGTCGCCAGGGAGTTGAATGAAAGGCAACAGCAGGCCATGGTTCGACAAAACAGCTCTGCTGAAGTTCCCCAAAGCACTGATGAAGGAGAAGCGGTAAGGATTGTCCTTGTTTTATGCCTATCATGGCCAGGATACATGAGAAGAAACTGGGTTGACATTGTTTCCTCCAAACATAATGTCATACCGAATTTCATTTTGTTTTTCTCACGATATGGCTGAAATATTGCCGATGTGACTTAAAACTTAACTCACTCACTCACTCATTTTGTTTTTCAACAGAGTCAATCTGATCCGAATGCAGAAAGTTCCACATCTAAAGAACAGAAGGATACAAAATCAGCAGAAGATATTCGAAAACAGCGTCCTCTGCTGCCAAAGTCAGCGATCTTGCGTCTTTTGTCAGAGATCATTAAGTCTTATGGCAACTGTACACAGTTGATCACCCAGTATACATATCATTCAGGACAGACAGAAATGGTGTCAGAGGTAGGTATTTCTGTTATCTAATCGTGTGTCTTCACGCCAATGGCATTAGACACAAGTTTGTCTCGCTTGGCCGCAGTTATTTACCGGCCACTATGATATAGCTGGAACATTGCTTTATGCAGTGTAAAACAACAACAAAAATAAATGTATTTACCTTAACATATCTACCTTGTAGCATTACTTGCAGTCCCTATAAAAAGTTAGGTAAAAAGATTTATCTTTCTGTAAATTAAGACAAATTGATGATTTGGTGGAGACTTCTGTTTTTCAATACACACACACATTAATTATGTTTTCATCCACAAATGATAACTTATGAATTTCACATTTCTCTCTCTTTCAGGAGTGTAGTGTATTAGCTTTTGTTCTGGACAGCCTGTTACCCCAGTGCCAAGCATCTGGTGATAGAGACTGTCCAAGTTTGTCCCGAGTGTTTATTGCCAGCATCGCTTCCTGCAATCACAGCCCAGAAGCTCAGAACTCCCTTGTCATAGAGATCAAGGGAGCTCTACAGAGAGCTCTTGCAATACCAGAGAGTTCTGAAAAACATTCCCGCCTTCAGGCCCTCACTGGAATAATAAGTACTATCATAGAGGCTTGTCCTAGCCCTGGACAAGTACCTAATCAAGTGTTCAAGGGCCAGCAAACTGTGATGAACAATATGGTGAAAATTCTTATCAAAAGGGGGCTAGTAACAGATTTGGCTCGGATACCCCATAATTTGGATTTGTCTAGTCCGTACATGGCCCAGACAATCAATTCTGCACTGAAGCCCCTTGAGACCCTTTCGCGCAGTGTCAATCAGCCCTTGCAGAGTGTTACAGCCAAGCCAAAAACACCCGATGATGGCTCAGGACCACCTAATATGGGCGGGACTACCATAGCTGCTAATAACAATCAGACAGGTAGGGTGTTAATAGTTCAAGCTTTTTCAAACAAGAATGTATTAAAGTTATGAATCTTTGCTGGTTAAGATATGACATTGATGATGTGATAAATATTGGTGTCTCATTTTAAGCTGAAAGGTTGTGATAACAAGTGATGGAAACTAACAGTTTTAGCCCACTAGTCCTTATAAGGATATAGCAAATCCCTTGAAAATGGCAAATTTCTACTAGTCCTTATGATACCTTAACTATAGGGCAGTTTGGCAAGGACTATAGGACTAGTGCCAATTACTAACACTGGATAACATTGTTCTGTTTATGGTTGTAGATGCCCAAGGTGTAGAAGAGGCTCTTGCAGGTGAAGCTGAGAACAATGTGACAATAGAAGATGTGACTGACCACCCTCTGGACCTGGATGATCTGGAGGAAACATGCACCCATGATGCTGTTGAGCCAGATCTTGACAGTCAAAACAGGGTAAGACGAAGGTTGCTAGATTTAGGTACGAGCATTACTGAGCCAGTGTTTGGGAGCATTAGTACAAATATTATAGTTTTCCTGTATGCATTGTAAAGACTTGGGATGTGTGTGAGTTTGATTCCATCAATGCTGTGCTAACATTTGACAAAACAATCTGTCATTAAAAGTAAATATCTAAATCTATGGTAACAGAAAAGAGAGATAGATGAATTTCAGATTGGAGGTTTTAGATTAGATTTTTTACAAAATCTTATACAAATAATTTCATATTTGTGGTTGATCACCCACAGAATTACTTGAACCAGTCAGAAATGTTTTTTTATGTTATGTTTTGAGAGGTTTTGTGACTTATCTTCATCCATGACATTCATTTTTTCAATGACTGTTTTGTTTTTACAGGGTGGAAACCTCCTGGATCAAGTGTTGGACCAGTTCCTGAACAGAGGTCCAGGACAATCTGATAATGAAATTCTAGGAGATATCACAATGGGCACAGGTAAGAATACAGTATTGCCACAAGCATGTCAAATATTTACATACTTAGGTCCGAAAACAAATGAGAAATTAACTGGAACCTCTAGATTGCATCAAATTGTACTTGGAAAGTATTATGGGGGTTTATAGTCTTGATTCAAAATATTTGTTTCTTGTATATTTTCTCATTCCTTCTTGATTCAATTTAGGCAATATTGTTTGTCATGTATGTGTTGTTGTCAATTTACTTTCTATGAGAACACCTAATCAAGCATACTTATTTATTAATAACTGAGTGATTATTTTGAGACCTAAATGATGAAATATTGATAATGTTGGACATGGGAAGATTAGATGAAAGGTTTAGTTGGCACTCTTGTGAAACTGAAGAACATACCTGTTGTGCTTCTGGCCGTCAAATGCATTTCTAAATGTTCTGTTTGTCTGGAATTAATAGTCATTTCTGAATTTAATTAAATAATTCTTCTGGCTGCAGTTGAGGAGCCAAGTCAGGCATCACACAATGAGGATGAATCTCCACGTGTGATAATCAATGTAGAAGTTGAAACTGATGATATTGATCAGCATGATTCTCAGATGGTCACCCAAGAGATATCTGATGTTGAGGATGATGCAGATGACCATGTGCAAGGTGAGAAATCAAGTATTGTTGTAAGCATGGTAAGGTAAACATTGATCTGATTTTAGGGTCTTAGCTAACTGTGTATTGTGCCTGCCTTCAATGAGAGAATACCTGATACCTATGGGGACTGATGGTACCGTTTTATTTCAGATGATGGTCCTGAGGAAGGATCTCCTGACAGTGCCTCAGAAGGTGATGATGATGACAACGATGATGCTGATAATGATGATCATGACGATGAAGATGATGATGAGGATGATGAAGATGATGATGAGGTATGTTTCTGATGGTTCTTATGATGAAATATGAAGGCATTATGATGTCTTATTCTCATTTGAATTTCAACAGTTGGTTGATGGTAGGATTTTTCTGGTTAAATGTGTGTCGGTGGTATCTATTGACCGGCAGGTCCAGGTAGTTTTGGGGGAATAAAGAACCTTTCATCTTTTATTTCACTAGCTATCTTGGCCATATGTTCAAGTCAAATATTCTTCCTGGAACTGTTTGTTCATCTCATAAATAATTTTTATGAATTTGGAAATTACTTGATTCTGATTGGTCTATGAGAGGTATCAAATCACAGTAACTACCTTTTATTGAAACACATGATTTGATGGCTGCATTACTGCAGAGCTGGTATCTCTTTGTTAGTCATTTTTGGAAGGTATAAAACATGGAAAGAGAAAACAACAAAATTGACTGAGAAAATGTATTACAAGTTTAAGTAACAACGAAGGGCTTAGATTTGGTGCCTTTCTGTAGATATCATATCTTTTGTGTCGTAATAGTGACTTGTTGTATAGAACTAAACCTTGTGAAACTTGCTTCATTTCCTTTTGGTGGGCCCACTTTATGTTGGCTTATGAAGGAGCTGTGATGCACCTTTTCAGTGCCTGTCATATATGCAAGTAAAATATGATGATGTGAAAAAAGTTAATATCGGTGTTTTCTTAATTCAAATCAAAAGCCCACTCAAAACATTGGACTCAACCCATGCCATTTCACTCAATCTATTGCCTTACACCCAAGGCTAAAAAAAATAATAGTCTTGGTTCTCAGGCACCGCCTGCATCATCGTAAAGTTTGCTGCGTGTTTTGTTTTTATTTCCATTTTTAAAAAAACCAAAAAACACTTAAATATTCCAAGTCCAACGGTAGTCAAATACTGTATTCCAGTATTTTACTCATCAAAAAATACTTTTATGTTTGGAGGCCCTGACCCAGGTTGATTGTACACAACTGTTTCTTTGGTTAAACAATTGTCTATTTGGTTACATACTAGTTTGAACACCTCTCGCTCAATATTTTCAAAAGCCATTGCCTGAGTTTTTGACTTATACATTTGAGACCTCACGCAAGATGCTCCAAATTAAGATAAGAGGTATCTAATCTGCTGTGAGGCTTCCTCAAATTTCAAAACACAGGAGTTTTCTCCTAATTAACAGTTTGATGAACTACTACTTACACATGTTTCAGTATAGGCCATTTTCACAAGCTTACCAGCTCACTGTATGTAAATTATAGCATACTTTCTTAAGAAAGAAAACCCAGTGATACTTGTCATTACTTTAATGACAATGATTTATGATTTCTAAATCCAAGACCGATCTGAGGGTCTCTTACGAGATCAGGGAAGTAAAAGATGAAATGTGTTTTCTAATCAAGCAACCTCAAAAATGTTAACACGGGGTATTCCAAATGTCAGTTACGATCTGTATGATTGATTCTGTCAAAATTATCGTCAATCTCGCTTCAATGGGATTAACATTTTAAACGGAAGAGACTTTCCATTGCCTTGGCTAGTACTATCTTACAATCTCAGCCATTTGTTCAGTTTTCAAATTTTGAATTATAAATTTTGTCAAAATATTTACAAAGTGTAGTCTGGAATGGCTGCCAGTTTAACACAGAAAGCTACTTTCAGATTGGCTGATGTCAACTTCTTGTTAGCCATTTCATTGTTCAGTCAAAGTTTGCGAAAGGTCAACCTGACATGACCTGTAATGGCATGTTTTCAGATCTTTGTGTAGTGGTAGCGAGCAGTAAGGTCTGATTTTAATGAGTTTGGTCCAAGATTAAAACACAAGATCAGGAATGTAAGGACGACCTATGTTGGCTTGGATCAGTGCTTTTGCTAAAGAACACCGGCATTCCTTTCTTGTCCTGGGCGCCGTTCCACAAAGCCATCTTATCGCTAAGGTGATCGTAACTCCCATACTTTAACACTGGCTTACGATAGTCGTAGCCCTAAGATCGCTTCGTGGAACGGTGCCCTGGCTACTGATAAGTAGACAGGTTGGAAGCCTGTGAAGGAAGGCTTTGTGTGATAAAAGAGAGTATCTTTCAGGGTTCCGACATGGATGCAGATGAAGATGACTATCATGACATGGACACCACCATCACTCCAGGCTATGAGGATGATTTTCTCTTCCATATGGATGATATGTTCCCAGCTGGAAATTCAACATACCCCATGGGTGAGAGTAAGACCTGTTCCACTCTTAGCATGAGTGTGTGTTTGTGTTGCATGCTTATTCAAACAATCTTGATTATGTTAGTCTTGCCTAAGGATTCTCTGAATTTTCAGTGCATGCTGTGAAAATTCCTTACAGAATTAAAATTCATGTGAAATATTATACATGAGGATTACTGAAAAGATTCGAGTTGTTTGTGAAATTGAAGTACTAATATAAGGCTTTGGTAACATTTTGGTTCTCTTGAACTGCTGCTTCAAGAAACTCCCCCAACCCCCCCATGAAAGCATTTTTGTCTACTTTGAGACAAAGTTTTAGGAAAGTATTGAAGGCTGGGTGTTACTCTTTTGCAGTAAAAAAAAGGTAATTGCCTTAGGACTTAACATTTTTCCAGGAAACTTAGCTTAGGCTCAGTCTGAAAACACTACTTGAAAATGGTAATGGAGCTGTTCTGTCTTTCACTCAATTAGGTGGAGCCCAGCACATCTTTTTCAATGATAACTCCCAGATACGAACCTACCAACTGCCTATTTCTGTTCATGATAACGATAATGGAAATGATGCAAGTAAGTAGAAACATTTCAGTTGAAAGTTAAAATTTGTATTTTACCAGATCGCTTTTTGAAATCTTTCGAAAATTGTACCTGCATTCTGCATGAATGTAAAAAATATTACCAACTCTGCCCAGATTCTCGTGAACAGCGTAAAAGTCAATTTGCACGTATGATCTAGTAAAAGCAGATTTATGAACTTTCCAAACTAAAATGTTGCTTCCTACTTGACTGGTGTAAAACAGGGGATCACTTTTCAACTTCTGTTTTAGTGCCGTCCCTTCCCCCCGCACCTAGCAACGTGACAACAGCTCATCCATTGTTGATGCGACAGTCCGACCCCCACACAGTGATGGGCGTGGCTCGAGTTCATCGTGGGAACAGGCAACGAGGCTCCTACAGGTTCAATCCCAACACTCAGACTCTCCATGTCAACTTGCAGGGCAGTGGTCGACAGCCAAATCCTCCAGTTATCTTACAAAGGTTAAAAAAATTTATAAGACAAACTGGAACTAGGAAAGGTGTTAATATACTAAACGGTTAATGTAACACAGGGATGGGAAGTAAGCTGTTTGTATATGTAGAACAGCTTTTAGCATAGCATGGAAAAGCTAATGCAATAGATTGGTGTAAGCTTATAAATCCTGTTCATTGTATCAGATTTTCCATCCTTTTTCAAAAGTTATCTGTCAAGGTCCTCTAATATTTTGATTTATTTTGGTATAAACTTGAGAAAGGTTTCAGCAAGTAGGATGAGTTATCATAAATCATTGACTTTATCCAAATAAATAGGAAATATGTTATAAAAAAGTAAACATTCATTGAGACTTAATGGTTAGTATAAGAGAGGGTGGACTGTGAAAGGGAGGCATAGATTTATACAGTACAAATGATAATAAGGTGAAAATCTTAAGATTAAATCATAAATTATTTCTGTAGTTAATACATAGTAAGATAACATGAGAATAAATGTAGATGGTCTGCAATTGATATGAATGGGATGTTATGTTTTTAAATGCTCATGAACAAAGCTGATGTACAAATATGATGCTGGAACAAGCTTTAGAATAATGGTAAGATTTATTTTTGGTGTACAAATATTGTGCAATGGAGCGTGCATTAAAATAAATGGGAAAATATTGGATTAAATGCTGATGTAAAACTTACAAAATAAGCCTTTAAGTATCAATGAACATAGATGTTTATGAATGACATTCAATGCACTTTTTCAGAACTAATCTTCCGTGAAGGTAATTTCGTATGTTGAGATATTAATGTTCCTGCTTGGTTACTTTTATAGTCGTTTCTTTAGCAATATCTTATGATTAATTAATGAGTTTAAAGAAATTAAAATTAGTTTTTATTTAAAAACTAAACCAAACGAATAGCTGGCATCACCTCTGACCACTGACTGCATGCACATTGTGTTCTATCCTATCCACTATATGTAATAGTAAATCTCTTTCTACCAACTATTTGGTTTTGAAAAATAAATGTTAAGTTGACTATTGTTTCTTTTTTTGACACATACCTGTGATAATGTGTAGTTCTATTACTTCACAAACCAATGGCATTATTTGCTATTGTAATAAGCAAAGTAAATAAGTAGATCTATAAGAGTTCAGCTTTGGACAAGTTTGGCGAGTACAAAGCTATTCTAGAGTCCATGGATCCGAAGATTGTGAATGTTGGGAACATTTGTTGCAGACTCCTTGGCCCTACTACAGCAGCAGACATCCTTCAGCTAACCAACACTCTCACAACACAAGCTGGAGGACCAACACACACCAGGGTGGTGCTGGCCAATGATGACTTGAGGATTATCTCCAGGCCAGAGGAAGATCTCTTCGAAGAGCTATTCCAGGTAACTGTTATAGCTTATGTGACCCAATGTGATTCCATGAAAAAGTAGGCCCCATGAAAGAGGAGTTCTTTACAATTCAGTAGCAGATAATTGATAGCACATTCAGTAGATGTCAACCTGCGAGGATCATTTTCATGTATTTTCGATTAAATCAAGGAAATACATCCTTTGAAACATTTTGTCAATTGCATCACAAAGCTATATTCAAATCAAGGTATAATATAAAGAAATATAGTCCTTGCATTTTTACCATAAACTTTAGAATTCGACTTTTCAAGAGCCTGAAAGGATTTATCTGACTTTTCAATATAGCCAGATAAAAACTATTTTAAACCATAGACTCATGTAAAAACACTGTTGTGGCAAGATTCATGTTGTTTGTGTCTTACCCATTGAGATATTGGCACCCATGGATGCCAGACACTTAAAAAATGTATGTGAGTTGTCAAAATTGTAATTACAAATGGTGTACATATTAGGAAACATCAAAAACAATTTTTGAAAGCAAAAATAACTTAATCGTGTTGTAGGACCCATTTCCAGAGAGTGGCTCTGCAGGCTCTGGTGTCTTGTCTTGTGTTCCATCTACACTGACGCGCTGGACAGAGGAGACCAAGGTCTTGGATGGAGACAGTGTCCACAACTGTCTCATGAGTAAGTGCATCTTCTGAAGCGATGACTGGGTTACTTCTTTCAAGAATCATTGTTTATGATTCCCTCTGCCTTAAGAATTATTGTTTGTAACAGGTGTCATTTGTCTCGAAGAATTATTTATATATTCTGTCACATCCATTCATGTGAAATACTTTCTAAGTTAACAATCACGTCATGACTCGGGTATTAAAAGAGAAAGCATTTGTCAATTGTGTGCCCTGAATGACATTGAAGATGAATACCACTTCCTTTTTATATATGCCCATTTTATGCAACATTAAGGGCTAAGTGTATACCTGAATATTACCATGTGAATCCTACTTTCTTTAAATTCACATCTCTGTTAAACAACTCTAAGTACTTACTTTTACAACATGTATCTATGTACATTTATCATGCAATGAGACACAGGAAAAATATTATGTTATAGACTCTACTGCTCTGAATGTATAAATCATAAATGTACTATAGGCCTGTGGCCTCCTCTCTACAGAAATAAAGAAATTGATGGACTTATTTCCAGTCATTAATCGTGGTGTGTACATTTACAGCGGTCAAACCTAACATCATTGAGAGCTTGATTAAGACCAGAGATGAGGAGCTGAGTGAGAGGCGAGAGAAGAGGAAGAAAGCAGCAGAGGAAGATGCAGCCAAGAAGGAGAAGGAAAAACAGAACAAACCCGAGGAGAGTGGCCAGATTGACAGCTCGGTGAGGATTTCTCTGAACTATTGGATCTATTGGTTTGGTGGGATTAACTAGAAGTTACAACATTTTCTTAAACTCTGTTACCCTCTAGCCTGTAATAGTTTGGACAGAAATACCTTCATCTCCATTAAGTGTGTGATTTCTTTCAGTCTGGAACATCCACCAGTGTGACAACCTCGGGAGCAGTAAGTGCTGCCAACACGCTGTGCATCACGCCAGTTGTCCCCAGCCACACCTCCACTCCCAACCCACCGCCACCACCAGTCACTACAACTACTGAGAATCTCTCAAGGCAAATCAGTAAGTTTCATCTTGTTTAGTACCCCACAGATTATGTGCTATGTGTTTGAACATGATAAGGAAGAAGTAAATAGTGCATGTTTCTAACCTTAACCAACATATATGTCAAGTCCCGTTAATCCAACATTGTTGGTTGCATATGATTATGTCGGATTATGAGTATGTCGGGTAAACGAAATTAAGTAGTATCAACGTGCGTGATCGAAAATCTGACAACTACATGTTACATTATTAGTGGAATATGTTTTCTAATCAAAAAGCTCAACACAAAACAACTGTTATGGACTTATGACTTATTCAAAATACTTTTAAAAGCATAGTCTGGAATGGAAGTCGCAAGTTTGAATCTAGTACCGCAAAGCTAAGGAAGCTGCTTTCTAAGTGGCTAACGTTAACTTCCTGTTAGTTATTTCATTGGTGGTCATAGTTCGCGAAAGGTTGTTCTGACGTGACCACCTGTAATGGGATGTCCTCTGCGATGGCGAGAACTTGTATCTGATTTTAATAAGATGGAGGTAATCTAAGCATGTGATTAATCCTGTTTTCTTTATTTAAAGCATTAATTGTTTATTGTTAACCAAGATTATCTCTGCAGCTGTTGTAATATGCAGCTACCAGCCTGATTAATGAGTGATTTCGATTAGACGTTGCTAATTAGGTGTGTCGGAGTCAGAGTGCGAGACTGTCGGATTAACAGGTCTAAACAGCACTGATTTAATCGGTTCCCATCATTAGTGTCGGATAAAGCCGATTGTCGGATTAACGAGACTTGACTGTATGTCAAGAAGCTGAGCACATCTACATTTTGATACTATCGTTTGTGTCACTGTAACTGTGGCTTCCCAAAATTCCATCAAATTTGTATTCCTTGACAAATTGAGACAGTTTTAAACTCATCCTAGCTCTCACTATGCATTTGATCCTTCTTCCGATCCTTGTGTGAAAACATCCTCAAACAAAGTTTCCAGCTTCTAAGCCCATTTTGCCCTAACACCCCTCACATCAGTAAGGATAAGATATATGGATGAACAACTTCTATACTACAAGTAGGACCGATGTTTCGGTGTAAGATCACTTGATAACGGTGTTAAAACCTACACCCAAACGTTGCTCCTAATTGTAATAAAGAAGTTGTTCATCCATATATCTGTTCCTTATTTTGTACTCCAACTTCTAAATGCCTCTCAAAGAAGTTACCCTCACACCATCCCAACTATTGGGTCATGCCTTACAATCTCGTGCACCGTGATGGAGGATTAGAAGCTTGAAACTTTGCTTTATGACATTTCCACACAAGGTTCGGAAGAAGGATAAAATACATAATGTCAGATAGATAAGTATATGAATATGCAATTTACCGTACAATTTGTTTTGCTCATAAACATTTTGAGATGGTCACCTTTTTCTTTTGGTGTTTCTTTAGTTAAACTGTTTATTTATGTTCTAAAGGTATGTAGTTTGTGATAACGTGTCATGTTTAATCCAGGTGTAAGTGAGGCTGTGGCAGCAGCAGAGAGACTTGCTTCAGCAATGGTGGAGGAGGTCCTTGCCCCTGCCATCACCACCACAGCTGCATCTTTGCCCAGTGGACAGACCGCAGTTACACCCAGTGTTACCCAGGCGGCAGTGTCCACGACAGCTCATGCTGAGCTCACTGACCACCTCCTAGCTGGACAGGGCCTAGCCGCAGATACCATCACGCCAGCCAACCAGCCTGTCCCTCTAACAACACCCTCTGCACCACGCAGGTAAGCCAGGGCACTCTGTTCATTGTCCTTCAGTTACTGTGAGAATTTCAGTATGTACTTTGTTTGTCAGACCAAATGAATTATTTGTTTGATGGAAATGTTGTTTTGACATTTTGACTTTTAAACAATAAAAGTGGGAAACAATCTAGAAGTCTTGAAAAATGCAGTCATGCATAGAATTGCCTATTGCATGTTTTTGTTTTATGAAAGATGGTTTATTTTCTTATTCAGACGCACAATTTTTTCTTTTTAAACATTCTCGATGTTCGCTTTGTCTAGAACACAGCATGACAGGTGGCTTTAGCCACGACACTTGTAAAAGAAATGGCAAAACCAGTGATCAAAATGACATTGCGACATGGTCTCATTGGCTTTTGATAGAGAAAGGCTATACATCTTTTTTTTTATCGATTAAGGCAAGGAGTTTTGTTTTGTCTCTCGCAGTTTGGAAAAAAACCTTCATGGGCGGGTTCCAAAAAGTCTAGTCTTTAAATATTTGAAAGTGTATGAAGTGTCACTTTGCCTGAAGTCATAGCTTATTGGAGTTTCATGTTAGATATATTGAGAAGTTTAAACCCTTGTTTTCCAATAGCAATTAGTGGACTAATATAAAAGAAGTAAACATGTCTTGTTATACCTGACATCATGAATTGATTCTCATCTATATCAATTAGTGGTTTACTACTCACTCAAACAGTTTTTACACTGAGGTGCTATAGTTTGCACCTTGCTGACTGCAGCGTGATATGACATTCACTCACTCACCAGCTAATGATGATGCACACAATCTTCATAGATTAACTGTCTTCAGCAACCCATGCTTGTCGTAAAAGGCGACTAATGGGATCGGGTGCTCAGGCTCGCTGACTTGGCTGATGCATGTCATCAATCCCGATTGCGTGGATCGATGTTCATGATGTCAGTCACTGGATTGTCTGGTCCAGACTCGATTATTTACAGACTGCTGTCATAAAGCTGGAATATTGCTGAGAGCGGCGTAAAACAACAAACCAAACCAAACCAACCATAGATTAACTAATGTTTGAATGAGTAGATATCTAATATATTTGTCCAGCCTTTCACCAGTAATCTCTTCCTTCCAGGGCTGGAGATCTGCCGACTTCCAATCTTGCTTCCTTGTTGCTGTTTGACGATTCTGTCATGGAAGCCACCAGCTCTTCCTCGCCCTTATTTGGATTGGGCACCACGCAGGGAGATGAGGTTGGTCCTACGGCCACACCAACATCCAGCTCCGACTCAACAACAGGGGCACAACCCCAGAGCGACACGGCTGTCACACCCGAGGAAGTCTCGAACATTACAAGTTCAGATGCTGTTACAGTGCACTCTTCTGCGTCAGGCAAGTTTTAGTACATTACTGAGTAGCTTTCAGCATCAGACATAGACGTATCATTTGTGAAAGTACATTTGAATGTGAACCTTCATACAGTGGGAAAAGTATTTGTACTTAGTAGGATATATTCTTTACTCAAGGAAAGCGTATCTGAAGTTTCAAAGACCTGGGCCTTGTTCCACGAATTTGAAAGTGCTCTGAGCACTAAGAAGCATATTGCCATACTTTAACAATAAGTACTAAAATCACTTTACGGAACAGTGCCCTATTTTTTATTTCCAACGTTGCTGCGAATAGCTGCAAGATTGCTGATGCAGTGATTAACAATAAATTCTCACTCACAATTATTCTCAAAGGCATACAATTTGTTGAGCTTATTCTTGTGACTCCTTGCATTGATGTAGCTGCCATACTTTTCTTTAACTTGCCTAAGCCATTCCTCAAAGTGTAGTAGCCCTAAGATTTGTGGAACAGGGACCAGTACCTAACCACCACCACCCATCTATCTATCTATCTATCTATCTATCTATCTATCTATCTATCTATCTATCTATCTATCTATCTATCTATCTATCTATCTATCTATCTACACACACACATACATACATATGGGGGGGGGGGGGGGGGTGGTATATACATAGTTGATGCCTTGTCCATCTGTCTGTAATCATTTTGTTTCCTGAGCAGAACTAAAAAAACTATTCTACATGTTTCATCCAAACTTGGTACATGTATTAATCAAGGACTGAAATGGTGCCTTTTTAGGAATTTAAAAAATATTAAGTTTTCCTGTTTCCATGGAAACAAGTTTGACTTTGACTCTGTTCACTGTTCATAGTTGTGTGTTTGTCCGGACCATATCTCTGAAACTAATAGGTACTCTTTCTTTGAAACTGCACACACAAATACCAGGTTGCCTGATGGTACCGTTCGCTACGTAGGGATGTTCACAATATATATTTTTTCCGTTTCCATGGCAACATGTTTGACTTTGACTCTGTTCACAGTGATGTGTAGCTGACATAGAAATACAAAGTTCCGAATCCCAATTCCATGGCATTGTTTTGATAGCACAATAACTACTCTTGTATGACGACAGGCAGATTAGAGAGAAGTTCTCTCATCAAGTTGGACTTAAAGTTACAATCAGATGATTTGTTCTTTCATATTTGTTGGGGCCGTGGGATTTGTCATCTTCTGATGACTCTTGTCTTACACAGGCAATGCAAATCCAATGTGTGTCTCATCATTTCTGACTGGTGAATAACTTCGGTCACTCACTCCTCTCTCCATCTTCCAGGTAGCACAGAAGAACTTGCAACTGCATCTGGTATGAACCCTCCGAACACATCAGGAAGCACGACTTCGCAGACTAGTGTCACTAGTGTCACTAGTTCCATCCTATCATCCTTGGCAGAAGCTGCTAACCTAGCTAGTACTTCTAGTGGCACTCCATCAACAGTTGCAGCTGCAGCAGACTCTGGTGCGTAGAATGTGTTCGGGTGTATGTTGAGTGTCTGAGCTCAATATGATAAGTAAATTCCAATTTATAAATAAATCTGGTGTCAGATAAGTAATTATCTGAAACTTCTGTCCAAAATATGACGGGATTGCAAAGCATATGCTTGGGTAATTGTGCCTGGTTTAAATATTTACCATAGTGATATGTATCTTTTTTTGGTCTTTTTCAGAGGGTGTGGACCCTTCATTCTTGGCTGCATTGCCAGACAACATCAGACAAGAGGTGATAGCAGAACAGCTCCGTCTCCAGCGGATACAACAGAGAGCACAACAGCAGGCACAAAACACCGAAAGTGCAGGAGCTATGGAGGTTAACGCAGAATTCCTTGCTGCTTTGCCACCTGCCATTCAGGAAGAGGTGGGTTATCATGTTTGTTGTTTAACGCTGCACTCAGCAATATGCCAGCTATATGGCGTTAGTCTGTAAATAATCGAGTCTTGACAAGACAATCCAGAGATTGACATCATGAGCATTGCTCCACGCAATTGGGATACGATGACATGCATCAACTAAATAAGCAAGTCTGACCACCCGATCGCCTCTTTTGACAAACATAGTCACCTTTTACAGCAAGCATGGGTTGCTGAAGACCTATACTACCCCGGTTTTTCACGTTAAGTTTTTATGAAAAGATGTTGAAGTACTGTTTGTGTGGAAGGTAACAGTTATTCTGGTAATTGCCCCGTTGGAATAGCTCCTAATTTTTCTATGATTGTTGTAAGAGTGACTGTTGAGAATCAGATGGTTGTAATTTTATAACCTGGGTGATTGTGCATCATCTTCCCAAAAGTGACATGGTGCATTACTGATGCCATCGACCACTGATCTTCTTTCCTTGATTTGATTATTTACAGGACACTATAGCTTGTACTTTTAACTAAAAAAAGAATACCCCCAACCCACCCACCCTTGTTATTATAGAACTACAGGAACCTATTCTAATTGTTTGTTGGTTAACACCGCACTTAACAATATTCCAGCTATATGACAGCGGTCTGTAAATAATCGAGTCTGGGCCAAACAATCCAGTGATTGACATCATGCGCATCTGATTGTAAGAGGAGACAACATGGATCGGTTGGGCAGACTCTGACATGACAGGTTGATAGTGTCATCGTACACCAAGGGCATTGAATTTTCACGTCATATCAACCACTGGATTGTCTGTTCCATACTGAATTATTTTCAGTCCACTGTCTTATTATAGCTGGACTATTGCTTACACAACAAGCAGACAAGAACTACATTCACTCATTCATTGTTACTGAAACTTTTAATATTTGATATTGATTCAAAATTGTCCATTATCCAAATAGTTATATGAATTCTTTTATATGGAAGGTGCTGGCTCAGCAGAGGGCAGAACAGGCCCGTCTCGCAGCACAGCAGCAAACACAAACAAACCCGGAGACTCCAGTTGACCCTGCAAGCTTCTTTGCCACCCTGCCCACATCACTACGACAGCAGGTGTTGGCTGACATGGATGACAGCATGTTAGCTGTTCTACCACCTGATCTGGCAGCAGAGGCTCAGGAGCTGAGGAGGGAGTTCGAGGAGAGACACCGCCGAATTGTTCAAGAGAGAATCTTTGCACAAGCTGGTGCTGCTTCTCTGTCCGCTATTTTACGACATTCAGGTGCTCAAGATAGAGCAGGGTTGAGCAGAGGGAGAACCTTGGTGGACGAGTACAGGGGTGGGCAATTAAGTCTTAATGCAGCTACTGCCATTGTCATGTCTTGTCAAGTGTTGTCTTGATCAGTAGTATCACTGATGTTGTAGTCCTTAACAAGTTTTTCTGCACGAAAGAGCTGAAGCTTGAAGTTTTAGTTCACTTTTCCAAACCTTACATGCCTTTGATGCTAGGGTCATCACTAGATACAGTTTGCTGGCAGATGATAACATTTACATGTTTTATAGGAAGATAAAGTACTGCTATGAGATTTCATGATTTGCAGCAGCATTTGGTCCTAGTGTTCAGTAATGCTGTGACAATCTGGAGAATGACAATAAGTATAAATGGTGTAGGATGCTTTGAGGTGTTTTCTTTGCTTACTGTAGCACAAGCTCCCACAATCTCTCTACTCAGCTCTGCTCCATTTTAGTTTTCTTTTTATTTGCTTATTTTCTGTTTGAACCAGCTAGTGTGACTTTGGAAAAGAAAGATAACTTATGTTAATGAAACTGTGAAAGCTCTGGCTTTGAATTGTTAGTGTTATATGAGCAGTAGATAATATTCATGTTCGGTGCTTGTACTGTTTTGACACTGGACAAGTTAATTACTGCATGTTTCCTTCGTGTTCTGTGGAAGTAGCGATAAGGAAGCTACAAGTATGATCATCTAATAGGCTTACTTTGACGTAGGATTGCAAATCATTAGTGACTGATATGAGTCTTGGATGTGCCGGTTAGTATAAGGCTGTAACTTGACATGGTGCTTTTTTCCTCAAGGACTGAGAAAGGATGCCTGCATTTTTTTTCCTGACATGATAATATAATGGTTGGCATTCAGGCGAAATATTCTTGGTGTTTGCACCATTGTTGATCAAGTTCCTAGGCTTCTACATCACTGACATACATTAATATTACCATGAATGGAAAATATATGATTATTTACAAGGATGCTATTAACGTTCTGACTTAGTGATACCCCTGAGAAACTCCTTAATACCCTGAGAATACAACAACCATCAACTCATTTATTCTACAGTTGAATAGTGAAAATCTCCGTACCAGTAAGGATTCTCATCTTGTAGGTGCATATCAGATCATAATGGGTAAAATGTGGTGCTCCCTTGTTCTTATTTTGGAGTTAAGAGGAAATCACAGCACATCGGTCAAGTTGAACTGTAAAAGTCCTAGAGTTAACTTTTGAATTAGGTTGATTTGTTGATTGTTTAGTTCTTTCTTTATTGTAACAAGTTATTTCTGTTTAGGCCTTGCGGGACGGCTTGGATCACGCTATGCAATCAGGGCTGCTCCCAGAGGAAGCAGATGGGCGTGGGGAAATAGATACGGAGGCAGGTATGCTGCTCGGTATGGAGCCCAGCCTCCTGCCAACAGTGCAGCCATCAAGTTACGAGGTCGCCATCTATTGGACAATGAAGCACTGACCTGTTTACTTGTCTTACTGTTCTTGGATGAACCAAAGCTCAACACATCCAGACTTCATAGAGTGTTAAGAAATTTGTGTTACGATGGACCAACAAGGACTTGGGTGATTAGAGCATTGTTGTCCATCATGCAGAAAACGGGTGAGTGCAAGCTTCATGAGATAGAGGACAAGGTTGGGCCGGCCAAAACCCCTGAAAAGGGCAAGGCCAAAAAGGTTCAACCAATGCAAACAGATTCCCCGGTGGCTTTGAAAAGTGATGTGCGCAGTCAAGCATCCTGGTTGTCTATGAGTCTAGAGGCTGCCTTAGGTTGTCGAGCCAACGTCTTTCAAATTCAGCGGAGTGCAGGTAAGAAACACACCAATCCTCCGAGCTGTAGTGTCAGTATTCATAATCAGGCTGCACCTGTGGTGTGTAGACATGTGTTAGACACTCTTATTTCCCTAGCCAAAGTATTTCCAAGCCATTTTCTGCCTGCTCCAAAGGCAAAAGAGGTCCAAAAATGTGAAGATGATGGCAAGGAAACGGACAATAACAAACAGAAACAAATTGCAAGTGGTGCCTCCAGTCCCAGAGTTGCAAACAAGTCTGAGAAGGGGGAGAAATCCGATGCCAAGCAAGAGAATAAATGTGACACCAATTTCTGGGATTTATTGGTGAGATTAGACAATACAAGCGGTAGCAAAAAAGGCAAAGGAATGCAGAAAGCCCATAATTCAAGTGCATTTGAAAATGAGGATAGTACAGTGTATAACAGTTCTCCAATAGGACATCTCATGAACATGCTGTCTCATCCTGTTATACGGAGAAGCCAGCTGCTTACTGACAGACTCCTGAGACTTCTAGGGCTTGTGTCGATAGGATTGCCTGATTTGTCCCGTGCTAGGGATGTCCGAACAAGTGGTGTCACCACTGCAACATCCAATGTAATCGCAACTACAGCTGCAGCATCTAGTCTCTTGACAGCAGCCACGATAACAACATCTTCAAACTCTGCACCCACACCAACATCGATGGTTCAACCCTCAGCCCCACCTGCAACAAGTGCAGAAGGTAAGTGTCTGACTTGCTTGTGGGACCCATGAAGATCCGGGGTAGAATAGGTCTTCAGCAGCCCATTCTTGCCGTAAAAGGCGACTATGCTTGTCATAAGAGTTGACTAATGGGATCGGGTGGTCAGGCTCACTAACTTGGTTAATGCATGTCATCATATCCCAATTGCATGGATCTATGCTCATGATGTCAATCACTGGATCGTCTGGTCCAAACTAGCTGAATAACTTGACTGTCGTTGCCCTACTTCAAGTTTTAATCTTTGTGATATGAAATGTATAAAAAGTGCATGAAAATGTTCAGCACATCAAAGCTATTCCAGTCTTACAGTATGTGCCAAATTGTTTTTTACTAATTGGCTGGTGTGTTGTCATGCCAGTTACACATTGCTAAAGGAATTTAAATAGACAGTGGAAATTCCAATTTCTATTTTATGAATGTTATTTCAGTCTCATTTAATTCTGAAAGTTCTAAGATTTGTTTTATTTTTAACAACTATTAGTGCTCAGTTTATCTTTTAAATATTGTTAGTTTTCAGTATGAAACTAGATTTCCTCAGTCAAATGTATTGTGTCAGTTGTGACTTGGATAAACAACATTTGCAATTACTTCAGGAAATATTTCGTCAAATAAACAGGAATTACACATCATGTAAAACTCTGGAACTTGTATTTAGGAATTACTTTCAGTAGACTTTAGGCTTAGCATATGGTCTAGTATAAGCTGTTCTTAATATATTCTGGCTTCAGACTTGTGTCTAAAGTCGGAGGCTGATGTTTCAGTTATGAAATATTTAACTGAACTTTAAATGGGAATTACATTTTAAGGAGCATGTAGAGTAGAAATCAACTGATGTTTGGGTATCTTGTGTCAGCAGCAAACTATACATGTGGCTAAATGTTTGTTCTCTACAGCTAAGTTAATAAAGAGCCCTGAAGAAGTGGAAGAAGAATTTGAGGATGAGTCACCTATATTGAAGAATGAACTGAACCTCGCTGTACAGGTAAGATATAGGTTATGCTGGTAGCATGAAATCCATTTGAAATACTTGGGAAGGGTGAATATATATTTGTAGCTTTACACCTTATGATGATTTTGTACTTCTCATGATACTGAGAGGGGCGGTCGGGTAGCCTAGTGGTTAAAGCGTTCGCTCGTCACGCCGAAGACCCTGGTTCGATTCCCGACATGGGTACAATGTGTGAAGCCCATTTCTGGTGTACCCCGCCGTGATATTGCTGGAATATTGCTAAAAGCGGCGTAAAACCATACTCATTCAATCACTCACTCACTCATGATACTGAGCTTATTTTATTGTTCCATAGACCAAGAAGAGTACAGATAGACGATCATGCAGCAGAAATGCTTTCATAACCCTCTCACAGAAATCATGGTGATGCAATTAAACAATGACATGATATTGTGTATTTATGGCTCAACTGTTCAATGTTTAAAACTGATTTAGTAATATGTCCCCAGTTTTGATGATTCAGATCTTTACCAGACACATGGTTGATTTTTTTGTTTTTATTCCCCTAACACAGGTGCTGACAACCAAGTCATGTTCTGAAGAAGGTTTAGAAGATGCTACAAACCTCCTACTGCAGTTGTCTTGGGCCAACAACGCTACACGCAATGCAGTACTTGAACTCTTGCTGGTTGGTGCCAGGAAACTTGGTCTCACAGTCTGTGCCAATATAAGGTAGAACTTTCTAACATAAACAATTTACAAAACAGCGTGACCTCATCTTTGTACATTCCCGACATGGGTACAATGTGTAAAGCCCCTGCCGTGATATTTTGTATGGCTGTTGAAATTTATTTTGTTGGCATTTAAACTGAAATTTGTTGGTAAGTATTTTCTTTAAGGATTTCATGCATTGAATGCATATGAATTCTCTTAATTCTCTTAATTTTTTTCAGAGGTTTGCTGGTTGAACTTCAGAACTTAAATGCTCACATAACTGATGACGTTTTTGACTCTGATGACAGTAGAGATGTTGATGCGAGTGTAGAGAACAGAGGAAAGGGTATGCTTCCTGACAGGTATGTACTATATCAACTTGTGTTCATGGTACAGGCAAACGGTTCCTTCATTGTGCAACCTATTGTTTATCTTGTCTTGATAATTGTCCTGATGTTATGAAAGGATTGATATATATTGTGAAACACATAACCTAATTGAATGCTGGTCTCCTTGACCTGAAAACCTGTTGTCATGGGTTCGAATGCAGGTTCACTCCTTCTCATGGTCAACATCACTTTGGGCTTTCCTCTCACATAAGGCAGACACACTGATATAACTGAAATCCTGTTCAAAGAGGTGTTAGTCCAATTGCCCTCACCCCAAACATGGATGACCTGAATGATTGCAGTTGTCCTCAGACACAGAATATGGCTTCATTTATTTTCACAATAACTGTAACCCTATTCCCAATTGGGATTCCAGGGCAGAATAGGTTCCAAGTGGTTGTCAAAAGAGTTGACTAATGAAGATCAGCCAGTTACTATGTGTGACTTATAGATTCTGTGAAATTTTTCCTGAAAGCATGTGTCATTGCTCATGCTAGGCGAGTAACGGGATCGGCTGGTCAGACTCGCTGACCTGGTTGATGCATGTCATTGTATCCAAATTGCGTGGATTGATGCTCATGTTTTCAATCACTGGATTGTCTGGTCCAGGCTCGATTATTCACAGGTCCCCGTCATATCGCTGGAATATTGCTGAATATGTTGTTAAACAACAAACAAACAAACACAGCTAAATAAGTGTCAGGTACTGAGTATAAAAAGTTACCTTGGAGATAAATACAAATGATTATCAAGCTCTGAACTTTCTCTGTGGCATTGTGCTCTTAACAGTGTGGATTATTGCTCACGAAGTATTGATTTAGCTGTCATGGGCATATATGAGACTACAGTATGGATTGATAAACTCTTTCACAGGTTTATGCCCGGAGTGCATGTAGTGGTATCAGCACCCACAAAGATGAAGAGTGGGAGAGAGCTACAGCTACCCTCAATGTCTCAACTCACTTGCAAAACATCAAGCCAGCAGTTCTTCCTCAGGATCCTTAAGGTCATCATCCAGCTGAGGGAAGCAGCAAGGGTAGCAGCCAAGAAGCAAAAGCGTACAGGTACAGTGTGACTATTGGTGCATCACACAATTGAGGCAATGTGGCACTCAGACACACGTGTCTTGTTTACTATGTGTCCACCCTCTCCCCCCGCCTGTATTATTTTGATGGGTTTTAAAGCTAAAATTCTTTAATGCAAAGATAAAATGTCATGTTGATATAAACTCAGTGTTCGAAAAACCTGCCTGCCCGACCGTCCGAGACGGGTTGATTTCAACTCGGGCTGCCAGATTTTCAAATCCCCCTGCCCGACAGTCGGGTTATATTTCATATGTGAAAATATTCTAAATATTTCCCGATGATAAGCATTAATTCACATGTAAAGATGAATGAAAAATGTAACCAAAAAGAAACCCTGTTAGCTTTTAGACAACCTAAAATTTAGCGATGCGCTTATGCTACGAACGGACCGTCTGTATACACGATATCGTGCAAATAGTGGACCAATGCCGTGCAATATACACGACTGGAAAACTCCCTTCTCCGCCGTGTGACGCACACGTTGATTGGTCTATTAATTTCCTACACAACAAACCTGGTTTCCGGTCTCAGTTGCGCTACGCTACATTGTATATTACTCCCCAAAATGTTAACTCTACACCATAGTGCGGGTATCCTTTCTAAAAAGATATATCAAAGATAATAAAAATTCTTTACTTGATAAAATTGTAATTTCTTCTCTAAACATCTGTGAAGATATAAATGTTTGCTACGGTGGATAAACCAGGTATCACAGTTAGTTAAAAGTTTTGCAGTCGTACAGACATGTTGTGAACATAGAGTCTGAGAGATCATAAATATTTTGAGTAAACATACTTTACCTAATGAGATACTAGTTTTACGAACCAGAATATTTATAATTTAGTTTTGTTGAACCAATTAAAATCAAAACATAATTTCCCCTATTAAAATACTACTTCTGGTAAAACAAAATGTACGAACTTTCTGTAAAAGAGCAAGCAATCTGAAGCAAGGATTTATTTTCCGCGTCGTGATTTACATGCAAAGTATATCACACGTTGTAGTGGAATATATGTAATGTTATTGCAAAGAATTATGGTATGTTGTTTGTAGAGCTGTTAATATGCAGTCCCCATCCCTTCAGAGAAACATATGATTTTAGTGGGCAGGCAGGTTTTGGTCAGGGCTGGCAAGTATTTCAGCTAGCCAGTCCTGTGGTCTGGCTGAAATTTTTGGGAGTTTCATACCCTGATAAACTACACAAAAGAACAACCAGTGCTTTCATATTACTTTGTAAGAAGTTAAAGAACACCTGATTCATTCATATTACTCTGTGATATGAACGAGTTAGGTGTTCTTTAACTTTTTTAAGTAGTATACTTCGGATAGGTAATTTGTCCTCTCTATAACCTTCTTGTATAATACAGGGATGTATCAAGACCTGCTCAGCGGCTGATTGTCAGCTCCAAGTCAGTTGCAAATGTCCATAAAAACTCCCAATTTGGAATTAAATTGTTATGGTAAAAAATAAGAAGTCTTTGAGGAAGTGACTATATTTCAGTGATAACAGGACAATAAAGAGGTGGATGCTTCATTGCATAGTTTTACATTATTTCACTGAATGCGATGTTAAAATATTTCTGAATTAAGGAAAATAAGAAAATGAAATCCCAATTGTAAACAAATTAAAAAATATTATCAGTTTGCCTGCGAAGGGCACCTAGTTTAAAATATACTCATCCATGTGACTTGATCACATTGGTGTCAATTATTCTCCTTAATTACACATCATTCTATTGATGTTTGGTCTTCTCAAGGCCTTGTTTCAGCATGCAGCCTGTTGAGATAACTAATAAATGTATCTCAGTTAAGACATGACATAAATAATATTACTCACTTACGATAATCTATTGTTCATTCCTCAACTAGGCAGAGAACTGGGTAACATAGCTGAGGCAATGGCAGCATTAGAAGCAGAGGCGGAGGCTTTCATGGAAGTTGTCAGTCACAGAAGTAGCACCCCCCTAACACAGCAGGCTCAGCCACAACAAGCTGCTCCCACACAAGTCGACATGTTGCAGGGGTCAGCCCAGAGTGGGGCCAGCGATGCCCAACCTCCAACCCCTGGGGCAGAGACTCCAATGGAGGTGGATCAGCCAGGTATAACTTGTACTGCAGTCATTACATTAATATCAACAAGGGTAGAACCATGTAATAACGCTCTGATATTTGCACATGTGCATTTTAACGATTATCAAAGCAGGTCTTTTGATGTGATATGACATCACATTCCTTCTTTGTTGAGAACAATGCGGTATGATGTCATCCATTGTTCATGATGTCACAGTCTGAATTCATTTCATCATCTGAACAATAGACTGTGAAGATCCTTGTTAGAATAGATCTTCAGCAACCCATGCTTGACGTAACAGGCAACTATGCTTGTCGTAATGGGATCAGGTAGTCAGGCTCGGTGACTTGGTTGATGCGTGTCATCGTATCCCAATTGCGTAGATCGATGCTGATAATATCAATCACTGGATTGTCTGGTCCAGACTTGATTATTTACCGATCGCCATCATATTGCTGGAATAATGCCGAGTGCTGCGTTAAACCACAAACAAACATCTGAACAATAAGCTGCCTTCAGGAAATTTCTTGACAATAGACTTGAATTTGTATTTGGTTTTCTTCATACAATATCTAAAAGTCATGACTGACAAGTAAAAGAACATACTTGGAATGACAGATGATATTTGTTCAAGGTGAACAGATGCTGAGATTAAGCTTGGACTTACACCATTCATTCACTCGGACAGATAATCTGTACTTCCTTGTGACTCTTCCTCATTGTCTAATCATTAACCTTGTGATGAATATCATGCATATGTTGTCTCGATATTTTGTTATCCTTCAATTTTCTTTTGGTCTTTTTGAAGTTCTGCTTCACTATGTCCATCAAAGAACCCTTTGGTATAAATGTTCTGAACAAAAGTTGGATGTGTTATGTCATGACATGGCTTGGTAATATTTTGTTTGTCATGTTCGTCAGAAAGTCTACTATCCCGAATAGTGATGACATATAACAATACCCGCAAAAATGTATGATCTTGTACTAGCCCTTAGGATACTCTAGCTTTAACAAAGCTGGTCCGGGCTAGTGCTAATTTCTATCCCTGCTGAAGTCTGAAGTCATGTGTTGGTTCTTTGTCCACCCTTGGGGGCGGTCGGGTAGCCTTGTGGTTAAAGCGTTCGGTCACCATGCCGAAGACCCGGGTTCGATTCCTGATGTGGGTACAATGTGTGAAGCCCATTTCTGGTGTCCCCCCGCGATGATATTGCTGGAATATTGCTAAAATACCCATTATCCACCCTTGATTGTTGCAGGTTCCTCTAAGGAGGATAAGGACAAGAAGAATGAGGAGACAGCAGCTCCCCTGCCGCGCTTGAGTGAACAACTATCACTGGAAGAGTTGTGGCAGACTTTAGGGGATTGCTTGTCTGAGCTGGCTAAAACACCAGACCAGCATGCTGTGCTTATCCTGCAGCCCGCTGTGGAGGCCTTCTTCATTGTACATGCAGGTTAGTTCCATGGAGAATGTAGAAACATTGAGTCTGTAGCCATACTCATAAGGCCAAAAAAAGTAATAGTCTTGGTTCTCAGGCACTGCCTGCATCATTGTAAAGTCGGCCGCATGTTTCGTTTTTGTTTCCATTTTAAAAAAACTCCTAACACTTAAAAAATGTGGTACACAACTGTTTATTTGGTTACATACAAGTTTGTCCAAACAAAAAAACTACTGCCTGCCCACTTTATATTTTCAAAAGTCATTACCTGAAAACCAATTCTTTTATCTTTTAAAGCCTAATACACTGCAGTCCAGGGCAATGTTTCAAAAGCAATCTACAATGTCTTATGTGAATGTGAAAGTATGGGAGTCCAGATTGTCTTCGCAGATTGCCAGGGGCGAGTGTTAAATCATCCTATCTGAACCTTTGTTCAGTGTTTGCTTGGTATGAGAAAACGTATGTTTCATTGGATATTATTCTTTATGAAAATTGCTTTGAATAGACTTTCAGAAAAATTCCAGTTGTAATGTGCTTTTGGTGTTTTCTTGAACTTAGGTGAGAAGGAAGTGAAACCTGTGGAGACCCACCCTCGTCGTGAGGATCAGCTAGCACATCTGAATGCAGAGATGGCTCCTCCTTCCCCATCTGCCAGTAATAACCCAGCAGCCAGTGCCGAGACAAGCATGCCTCTCACCAGGGAGAACTCTGTTGCATCTGTCTCTTCCCTGGCACATCTGCCACCTGATGCTCAGAAGTTCCTCAGGTTTGCTGGTGAGTACAACTCATTCAAGTCTCCATGCTTAGATCTCTGGTTGGTTGTATTGATCCCAGCTTGTTGTTGGGAGAAGGTGACTCAAGTGTAAGGATGCCAATATTTGAGGATACTGTACGGATGAAAGTGAAGACCAATTCTCAGTTGTCTGTCAGGTTTAATGTAATATTGCACCTGCCATTGGCATACCCATGACTTTCTGAATGTTTGTACGATAAAGTGCTTTGGGTAAAAATTGTTTTGACATATTTTTGGAAAATCTTTTTTTAAATTTTTCTGGCATTGATGAATTATCTGTCTGGGTTTGGAATTTGGAATACTTTGCTTGTTTTTGTTTGCTTTTAAGCATTGTCCTCATTGCTGGCTTGGGATTAGTTAGAAAGACAATTTGAAATTAATTCCTATTTTTACCTCACTTGCAGAAACCCACAGAACTGTTCTGAATCAGATCTTGCGACAGTCGACAACCCCATTGGCTGATGGTCCTTTCAGTGTCCTTGTGGACCACACACGAATCTTGGACTTTGATGTGAAGAGAAGATACTTCCGTCAGGAGCTTGAGAGATTGGATGAGGGTTTGAGGCGTGAAGATCTACCAGTTCATGTCCGCAGGGAAAATGTCTTTGAGGATTCTTTCAGAGAGCTTTTCCGAAGGTCACCAGAAGAGTGGAAACAGAGATTCTACATTGTTTTTGAAGGTAGGAATACAGGGCCTGAAAGAATATTCAGGGCTGCAATTGCATCATGTCTGATGACCAAAAAACCCCTAAAGAAAGCTGATATATTTCACATTCAGCATTGTTACATGTAAGGGGTCTAAACAAACGTGTCAATAAGAACATGCCACACATTGTACTTGGTTTATTCAGATATCAGTCAGGAGTTACGACTTGTTTGATATTTCAGTTTGTAGTTCAGTTTCAAAGCAAAACACTGAGTTAAGTTGATTATGTTAATGAAATGCATGGAAAGTTACGTTCACATGTAAAAATTGTCATGTTATATTTTTGTTCTTCCTTCCTTATAATTGCTGTTTGTCCTTCACACTTTGTTTCCTGAGCATAAAACCATTCAATATTTCTTGATCAAACTTTGCAGATTCTAGTACAATGCCTTTTGCTCTGTAGGAATCTTAGATCTTGATACTTTTTTCGGTATGGTTGAATTTTTACTCGTGCTGCCAACCACCAGTTTACCTGGCCCACACAGGCTGATGTGATATGACTGGATTATTGGTGAGTGTAGTCTTATGCATGGGTTGTTCACTAACTCACTCAACCATTGATGTTTTAGTAAAATATCTCTCACTATTCCAGGGGAGGAGGGCCAGGATGCTGGAGGCCTGTTGAGAGAATGGTACCTGATCATCTCAAGAGAAATCTTCAATCCCAACTATGCATTATTCAAGACCTCTCCAGGGGACAGAGTCACCTACACTATCAATCCGTCTTCTCACTGCAATTCTAACCATCTTAGCTACTTCAAATTTGTTGGCCGAATCATTGCAAAGGCTGTGTATGACAACAAGCTTCTTGAGTGCTACTTCACGAGGTCCTTCTACAAACATCTACTCGGACAGCCTGTCAAGTGAGTGAATCCTGCACAAAAATACTTTGGGAGGCAACCAAAGTGGGTATCTGCTGGTCACAATCGCTGACATAAAAAATCATTGTTTTTCGCCAGGATAAAGCTTTATTTTGCTATAGCATGAAATGGCATTCATTTGCACCATATGTAGATTGTAAATTTGTTGTACATGAGAGTACATGCCATTCGTGACCAACTCGTGTTATTCCGGGACAAGCCGAATAGCGACTCGTGCCCCTCTCATGGCCATTTTTGCGACCGGGTTCCGTCTTAGCGCAAATGGGCAAAGCTAAAACAATTGTCAACTCGTTGCGTAATGGTTAACATATATTTCCCCATATATTATATATATTTCAGATGCAATTTAAATCACATAGGGACATGCGGAATAATACAGTATGATTTGAACACATGTAACTGTGTCTTGGGTATATTTTTAGATGCAAGACGTATGTAAAATCAAAAATTATTTCTGAGGGATTCTTTGACGAAGAACTTGAAATCATGCACGCATTCTGATTGGTTTGTCGTATTTTCGCACATAACATTCATCGATAGGGGTACGAGTCTTCTTGCAGGTTACGGAAAGGGGCGAGTGGTGACGAATGAGTACATGCATATGAAACCTTTTTAGGAGATGACACATGTGCAGTGTGCCTTTGCCTTGATTTCAGATACACAGACATGGAGAGTGAAGATTATGCCTTTTACCAGGGCCTTGTCTTCTTGTTAGAGCATGGTGTTGCAGATCTTGGCTATGATCTCACATTCGCCACAGAGGTAAGACTGTGTTCAATCTATTCTGTTATGTAAATGAAAAATAAAGAAAGATTCTCACCTTAATTGTTTGAACCTTGGAAAATATATTTTCTTGTTTCTTACCACATGCAGCATGCTGGCATCTTTTTAGAACCAATTTTGTGTAGCGTTTGCTGTTCCTGAACTCTGTCCCTTTTTATCCCTACCTCAGATCATGGAGTTTGGTGTGATGGAGACAAGGGACATTATCCCAAATGGACGTAACGTGCCCGTGTCTGAAGAAAACAAACGAGAGTATGTGAAGCTTGTCTGTCAGATGAAGATGACGGGAGCTATTCGGAAACAGCTCAATGCTTTCCTGGAAGGTTTCTATGACATCATTCCGAAAAAATTGGTTTCAATCTTCAATGAGCAGGAACTGGAGCTGCTCATCTCTGGCCTGCCAACTGTTGACATTGATGATCTGAAGGCCAATTCAGAATACCACAAGTATCAGCCTAACTCCCTACAGGTATTCACAGTTTTTCTGATGTTTTCTCTGTATTAGGCAGAACAACACTTAGGAGTGACTCTGTTGTTGGAGGCATTGTGCCCAGGAGGTTTTGCCGTGGCACAATTTAACTTAGCAATCTGCTTCTATAGATAGCCACCCTTGGTATCCGGGAATAGAGTAGATACCGAGTACCCCTGTGTTACAAAATGAGAATCGAGTTGTAAGAATATGTGACCAGGTTGATTGTGTGTCATCATGCCCAGATTGTGTGTATTGTGCTCATATAGTCAGCTATTGATCTGCTTGGCTAACATTTGATTATATAAAGGCTGTTGTGAATATTGCTACTCTTTTTATGCTACAATTAAAATAATTTTATTAAACATATTGACATTTTTCTAGTCTTTGATGCAAAATCTGACCTGATGAACATTGAAAATTCATTTGCAGATCCAATGGTTCTGGCGAGCTCTTCGTTCATTTGACCAAGCAGAAAGGGCCAACTTCCTGCAGTTTGTTACTGGTACCTCTAAGGTCCCACTTCAAGGTTTTGCCTTCCTCGAGGGAATGAATGGCATACAGAAATTCCAGATCCACAGAGATGACCGATCTACAGACAGACTTCCAACTGCACATACTTGGTAAGATATGGCACCATGCTTTTATGAAGCCTTCATCAAATTGTGAATGAAGATAATATAAACAAAACTTAGTTGTAAGATACAGTTACTGTTTACATTTATCCAGGAATTTGTAGTCCAGCCAATTCAATCAATAACCGTACCATCCAGATTAACAGGTTTTTATTGTAAGACGCTTAATACCAGTCTAAAGTTATTTGAAGAATGGGGTTAAGGTAATTTTTAAATGTCAATGTTTTAGGGATGTAGGCAACACAAATATTGTGCACATTTCCAGTTTTATCTTTAGTAATTACATTAATAAAGCCCCATTTTAAGCATCCTCTCACTTCTATGGTATATAGTGAGTGAGTTAAAATGTAATGATGCCATGGTAGTTTTTCCGCCATATAGCGACATTGCTGGAATACTTCTTACCATGGTTTCATACAACATTCACTGAAGGATCTAGGCAACTTTGCTTGTCGTAAGAGGCGACTAACGGGATCGGGTGGTCAGGCTCGCTGACTTGGTTGATGCATGTCATCGATCCCAATTGCGTGGATGGATGTTCATGATGTCAATCACTGGTTGTCTGGTTCAGACTTGATTATTTGCAGACTGCCATCATATAGCTGGAATATTGCTGAGTGCAGCATTAAACCACAACCTCACTCACTCACTCACTCACTCACTCACTCACTCACTCACTCACTCACTCAAGGATCTTGTCTTATATCTAATCTCCAATAATGTGGTATTATCACCAGGGAGGTACATCATACTCTTATGTCTTAATTTTCAGCTTCAACCAGTTGGATCTCCCGGCCTATGAGACGTACGACAAACTGAGACACATGTTGCTGCTGGCTGTTAGCGAGTGTTCAGAAGGGTTTGGCCTTGCTTGATTGAGTAGCAGGGTTAAATTGTACTGGTTCAGCATCCCAAGGGTGAAGCAGTAAGACTGTCAATTATCAGCCCTTCAGGATGGAACGTTGAGACAAAACACCTTCTACTTAATCCCAACTCTGCTATTTATTATGATTGTGGTTCATATTGTTGAATGACAAATTTACATAGTTTATTGTATTTAAATATTTTGCAACAGCAAAGAAATGATTGTATAAAATATGGTACAAAAGTACATAGAGCCTTTGAAAAAGAGAATGCCTTTTGTGATTTTATACTGTGTATATAGAGAGAATGGTCATGGATGTGATATGAAAATAGTAGAATTTATGCACAGTTTATTTGGGAGATATTATTTTGTTTTGCCCACTTGAGAAAACACAAAATCCTTCCTTCGTTTTGATGACATTTCCATCCACAGGTTATTGGCATTGTTTGTATTTATGAGTTCAATTATCTATTGCTCTTAATCCCCAAAGTGAATTGTGTGAAATCTTTTGTTTGAAGTTATGAACAGAGGCTACTGCTCAAACTGTCAGTGTCAGCTTAGATGTGAATAACCTATATTTGAAATGACCTACATTTTAGATGTACCTGTCAAAGCATTATTTACTTTGTAACATATACAATACACTTAAGTCACATTACTCTTTCATATTCAAAACATTGTGCACTATCAAGTTAACTGGTTTCAAACACATAACACTGATTGTTGTGGTACACAATTATCTCCATTGTAATTCACTGCCAGAAGGACTTACACGATGCTAAAGTTACTTTTATCTGTTTTATGTTAAAACCTGCCCAACGTCAAGGTGATTGTGACAGAATGTAAGACGGAATGTTCACGTATCATATTTCTCTGAAACAAATACAGTACAATGCAATGTTTGGAAGATCATGTTTATTGTGTTTAACTCAACACTGACTGCAAAGCATCATAGTGAGTTCCGCACCCAAACAAGATTTTGACTTTCTAATACTGTTCAGAGACAATTTGTGTCAGTGTCTTATTGGACACTTGATTAAGAACGATATGTAACTTGTTGACATGTTAAGTTGTTTGCGCACCTCTTCAGGAGACATGTGAAGTACAGTGAGAGTGACTTGATGGCACAAACTTGATTGTGACTTTATTCAATGGATGTAAATGGCATCACTATTTATGGCTGATGAAGAGCCGTGAGAGGAGAAAGAAGATTTTTATTGTATGCTTGAACAAATGATGTCGAGAGTTCCATATGGTGTATTATTTATTGATGTTTTAATCTGAACAATCCCCATAATTGTTTGAAAGCAGGAATGTAAAATACTTCCAAGGGGCTGCTCTACAGAGCTGTAATTTGTAGACAGATTGTTTCAGATTTCTTCAGTTTCAATGTACTAATTGTCCACATGTATGTAAGTCAATAATGATTTGAATATTATGACTTAATGTTACTGGTTGTAATCTTTACCAGCTGTGTACAGCCTTGATAATGAACCTGTTATGTATATTTCTCAGTCATGTCCATAGCACAAAATGACTAATGCAAGCATTTGAAATAAAAAATTAATTTGCATTCTGAAACTGTAAAGTCAAATAACAAGGCATAAACTGAGAAATAAAACTACAGTTCCAATATTTTGTGTCAGTATTTTGTTTTTGAAGAGTCAGAAGAAAAATTATCCTCTGTCCAGAGGAAAATGAGGTGGATGTTTGAATAATGCCCCAGTCAGCAATATTCTGGCTGTATCAAGACACTTCATATACAATCTTTCAGCAACCCATCCTTGCCATGAAAAGCGACTATACTTGTCGTAAGAGACGACTAACGGGATCAGGTGGTCACTGGTCACTGGATTGTCTGGTCCAGACTCGATTATGTACAGACCGCCATCATATAGCTGGAATATTGCTTAGTGCGGCATTAAACAACAAACATATACAAGTAGGTCTTGTCCGGTCTGTGAAAATCGATTGATGGCAACAAAAGCAATGAACTATGCCATTGGGCCACAGTGTCTAGTGGGGAGCAGAAGGTTGGTGGTTTGATCTCGGGTTCTGAATGGGTCATCCTTGTTAAAACTGTTGCATGGTATCTCGGTGGGATGCTCGCACAAGTGCAATAATCTTGAATGTAACGTTAACCCCACATCACCTCACCTCACCTCTCAACGATGGACTATTAGCTAGGTGAGCATTTATTTCTCATTTTTTGGTCTGCTCTCATGGTGATGATGGAGTGTGAGGACATTTTCCGCACTGGAAAGCATGGGTTTGTTTTCTGTCCTGATCATCAATTGATGTTTTTTTTGGAAAAATACACCTTTTAATGTCATGTCCTGAACTTCCTTAATTCTTTAAGAAATATATACATATGACATTAATTTCATTTTGATAAACATCTAAGATAATGTGAAATTTCGTGTAAGTCCTCATTTGATGCAAAGAAACAGAAGAAACAGTTGGAAGATAGTTAGTTTGGATAATTGATTTCAGTTCCTGTTTATCAGTGAGTATGTAACTTGTAAGCACTGCTAAACTTGTTTTCCTTGGGTTTTAAAAAAAACAAAACTTTTTGCTTTTCACATCAATGTGGTAAGAGTAAAAAATCATCTTAATGTGGACCATCTGTAGTTTGTGAAGGGGTGGTTGGGTAGTCTAGTGGTTAAAGCGTTTGCTTATCATGCTGAAGACCCAGGTTGGATTTCCCACATGGGTACGATGTGTGAAGCCCATTTGTGGTGTCCCCTCTCCGTGATATTGCTGGAATATTGGTAAAAGCGGCATAAAACCATACTCACTCACTGTAGTTTGTGAAGATTGTTGGGAGTGTTTTGGTTCTTTTATTTTGCAAGAAGAAAATCACTAAGAACATTACCTGTAAAAAGTTTTGTCTCGGGAGAAATATTTGGAAACAGACTAATGTATGCAGATAATAATGTATATATTCTTAATATGCCAAATCCACTCCCTGACGCATGCTCAAAACACAACATTATAAACCAGGTTAGTGGTTCAGTGTGAACTCGATTTTCATTCTTAGCTCCCTGGGGAACATACAACCCAAGCTAGAAGGTTAACAGTCATTATACCATCTCATCCTGGTGTATCCTATTGGGTACCCATTCACTGCTGGGTGATCAGGCATATGTCGATCAGTCTCTTGCCAAAGGACACTCGGCCGCCTCCTTGGTCTTGTGGTAGAGGGTCCGCGGAAGGTCCGGGGTTCGATCCCCGGCCGCGTCATACCAAAAGACGTTAAAAGATGGTACTTGTTGTTACCCTGTCTGGCGCTCGGCATTTAGGGGCTTAAACAAGGACTGGTCGGCTCGGAGTCAGTATACTGTGTCAAAGTGGGGTATTCATGTTAAACTGCGGCATGGTATCTCAGTGAGCTAGCACTATAAATCGGCATCAGTCCGGACTACTACAAGCAGCCACACACACACACACACACACACGTACATGCACGTCGCTATATAAGTGCAATAATCTTGGACGCGACGTTAAACCCAATTTCACCTCACCTCACCTCACCCAAGGACACGCCACATGTACACCATGTGCTTCAATTTGGGCAGGGCCAGAAACTCAAGAAACTTTCAGGAGTCAAACTGCCTGATGTAGTCACCCATCCCAATACTCTCCACAACTGACCTTGCTAAACTTCACCAGATGTTTTGTCTGTGCGCTGAACAGAGGACAACATGACGCCAGATAAGATCTGACCTAAAACTACAAACACCCACTCAACAATGCTAGGTGCCAGCATGCTACATTATGAAATCGTGCAAAGTAGGGGTCGTCTCAAAAGTAAGATAGGGTATAAATCTGAAAGTAAATGTGGACAGTTTTGACATAACATGTGCAGTATGCGTGTTATTGGGACAAGATATGGTCACCATTATACAGAAATACTGTTAAATGCGGCACTGAACACAACCAACCGACAGTAAACCATTTGTGTACCGTACGTCTTTGTTCCCTGATTTATTACAAGAACAGGACTATTACAGTGCATAATTATGTTAGTGGACAGTCTCCGGTACACAGTTCGCTGGTTAGGTACGTTAGCACCAAAATGTTACACACCTAAGACCAGCACAACCTCGGGCCTTCCTTCGACACAACCCACGATGTCAACTAGTTTATATTACTTTCTTATGGCCTTTACCGATCGAGGTATCTTCTTGATAAATAGGGGCGGTCGGGTAGCCTAGTGGTTAAAGCGTTCGCTCTTCACGCCGAGGACCCGGGTTCGATTCCCGACATGAGTACAATGTGTGAAGCCCATTTCTGGTGTCCCCCGCCGTGATATTGCTGGAATATTGCTAAAAGCGGCGTAAAAGCATACTCACTCACTCACTCACTCTTGATAAATAATGGGGCACGGGCGGCCTAGTCGTCTTAGGCGCCGCAATTAGCAGTGCACATTTGCGTCACTTAAGCACACCAGAAGCCCGTGATCGTGTGTTTGTGTCCGGTTAGGTCCGATGATGTTTCTTGGTTTGTCAGCACCATACCTGTGCTCATAGTTTTCACCAAACTGGTAAACGTCTAAGACCTGCATCACTTCGGGCTTTCCTGACACGCCATGGTATAACTGGAATACTGTTCAAATCACTGCATTCTTCAATCTCATTTCCCGACATGGGTACAATGTGTGAAGCCCATTTCCGGTGTCCCCCGCCGTGATATTGCTGGAATATTGCGGCGTAAAAACTGAACTCACTCACTCACTCACTCACTCACTCACGTCCGTTAAGACCTGACAAATATATATTCTTAAGCAGCAGATTCATGATCGAGAGAAATCTCTCATCTCTAAGACAACTCTATATTATATCACAATTAATTTTCAAGGTTCATCTATACGCATCCAGGGAATGCCTGCTCTCTTGTAGGGGATGTTTGGCCATGTTATACACATTTGCAAACATGCACTGTCACCTGACCTCTCGGCGCACTTTGTATTGTCGCGTGACTTTCATATCTATACGTTGGTCGCTTATAGTGTAAACATTCAAACTGGCCAACGGATCTCGATACCGTTGTAGTCACCACCGAAAGGCCATGCCTGCCCTAAAGTATATTCACGGTATTGTTTACCTGGTAACTGCACTTTGTACAGCACCCAGTCATGAAAATACCACCCCCGCCGTGAACAGTGTTGAAGAGGATATCGAGCGTCTCAACAGGGAGATGCCCCTCCTTGAAGAAAGAGTCATGTCTAAAATCGAGTTGGCCAAAAAATCGCTGAGATCTGAACTTCAGGGAACCATTCAGCTTCTTGTCACACAAGCTGTGGCAGAGATACTCAAGGGAACGCCTCCAAATCCGACAGTTCAAGTCAAAGCTGCCGATGCGACGTTAAATTTGAACTCGCCCAGTCACTCAACAGCTGGACATCCGACGAAGCAACCGAACAGCTCACTTCCAGACCAACATGAGAAAATGGAAGAAGAACCGTCCCTGAAACCGGAAAAGGCTCCTTCTGGAAGGAAGAACTGCACTTGTCGCAGCTCCCGAGAAGAAGAGGCCGAGGATGTGCTGAAACCGGAAAACGCTCCTCCTGGAAGGAAGAACTGCACTTGTCCCAGCTCCCGAGAAGAAGAGGCCGAGGAAGTGCTGAAACCGGAAAACGCTCCTCCTGGAAGGAAGAACTGCACTTGTCCCAGCTCCCGAGAAGAAGAGGCCGAGGAAGTGATGGAACCGGAAAACGCTCCTCCTGGAAGGAACAACTGGACCTGTCCCAGCTACCGGGAGGAAGAGGCGGAGGAAGTGCTGAAGGAATTACGGGAATGTAGAATGAGAGCTTGTCACGTTGAGGAGAAACTGAGGCTGTTGTTGTCTGAGATGAATCAGACGTGTTCGGAACCTCAATCTTACAATAGATCAACGACAGAAGCAAAAGCGACTTCGGTCTTTACTTCAAGTACGCCATCTGCAGGACCATCTGGTCTTGTGACAACGGCTGTTGGGACGCTACCTAAAGTTAACACCAGTATTTTCATCGCTAAAACTCCTTCCTCGGGGAAACAGTTTGGTCAACTCAGAATTCAGGACAATTCTTATGAGCTCTACCCATACATCGGTTGGCAAATCGTCACAGCAGTCGCCTATGTTAAAAAGCTGAATAGACTCTTGATTGGCACATACAATCCCAACAGTATAATAACATCTAAACTGTATACATTTAAGGTAAGAACTTTAAGAGAAGATGTTGAATGTTATGGAATGGCTGTGGATGACGAACGAGACGCTATCTTCATGACTACCCAGAATCCTATTGCCTCCATCAGCCGCATGACCACTCGAGGCAGACGGTTCAAGGTCATCATTGACCTGTCGACGTACGATAGACACCCACTTCGCATTGCCGTACATCCGAGAGATAAACGAATATTTGCAAATACGAAAGACAAGATTTTCACTGTTGGGTACGACGGTCGTGATTTTGTGACACTAGTAAGAGGGAGGTCTATGCATAGTTTAACCCTGGACTCGACGGGTAACATATTGTTCTTTAACGACGATACCAGATTGTTGAAGATGTCCATATCCCGACATTTGACCAGTGAGGTGACCACATTTGGATCGTCACCCTGGGATTTGATATATTATAAAAACACCCTATA